GTCTAGGCCCAAAACGTCAGCTTTCCTGCTCCTCTGATGCTGCTTGGCCTGCTGTGTTCATCCAGCTCTACACCTTGTTATCTCAGATTCTCCAGCATCTGCAGTTCCTACTGTCTCTGATATTATTAGGAAATATTGCTTTCCGGGATAAATTATACGTTTTGAAAAAAAAAATGTATTTATTTTAGTTGGAGGTGTACATCGATTCCCTCAGAAAAAGACCGTGATAAGCAAGGCCTGGAAACCTAGCCGGAATATAAAAGCAGGCTTTCACTTGGGCGTGACGCCAGCTGTCGTGAGAAAACGCTACAACCTTACTGCAAGTGCAGTTGGTTCTCATGAAAATAACAGTCAAGCTGTGGCACAGGTAATGCTGTTAGTCTGACCATATCAAACCCACTGGTAAGTTGGACTTTCAATATGACCTTCAAAATCTCTGTTCCCTGTTGTCAGTTAGTTGGAATAGTATTTTGCTGAAAGAAATATACATCGTGCCTCCTGAGGAAAACCACCACATTAGGCTTCAAATGACAGGGGCAGACACTGAATAGGAAGCAAAGGAACTTATGAACAGAGACCAAAAATGTAGTTGGTGATAGAATTGCGAAAAGCTGTTGATGAGGAGGAGCACTGACTTAGCAAACAGGGATCAAGGATCCAAAGATCATTCAGAAAGCTGGACAATGTGATCTGTGGCATTAGATTCAGGATTTTTCATGGATGATGGAGGAAGGCCTCACAAGACCTTGGAGCCAAATCAATTTGAATTGAGCAGGATAGATATGCTAATGAATAATCTAATAAACTAAACATGTTATTTTGTATATTTATTTCTTTAATTTTTGTTTGGTCTGGAAAATAAAGTTCAGATATTTGTTTTATTGAACATCATGCGTTTTCATTAATACAAATTACATTACAAATTTCATTAATACAAATGATACGTTGCAGGTTAAGCGAACTGAATTCTGTTCCTACGAATTAACCGGATCAACTGTTTTATCCTTCAGTTCCTGGGGCAATATTTCCACCAGATAGACCTCTCAGAGTTTATGGCATTATTTGGTAGCAGCTTTGTGCACCACAAAAAAGTGAGTAAAGTGATTGGATCCCAGGGCGGTATAAAGGCAGGTTTGGAAGCCAGCCTGGATGTGGAGTACATTATGAGTGCCGGTGCAAACATAACTACCTGGGTCTTCAGTAATGCAGGTAGGTTTTGGTTGAAATTGTGGATATAACTTTGTAACTACTTGCATGACAGATTAGCCAAACTATAGTGTGCCTTTGTGAGGCATTTACATTTCACAGCATAATCAGCCAAGCATGAGTCGTCTCAGTTTTGTTTTTTTATAAATATAATGAAGTCTCAAGATACTTCTGCTTTTACACAGCTTATGTCACCTGTTTAATCAGTAGTTGGTCACATGATGTTAATTTATGATATAAAGTTCACATGTATAAGTTGGGTAAGATGTAAAGTCCTGTGTAGAAATAGCATTCACTTGAAACATTTTGACTAAATATGTCATTGTGAATTTGATAAACTCCTGAACCAGCCAAACTCTGTTCATTACAAATAATGTTAGGAATTTTGACCTTTCTTCCTTTATTATTGTCCATTGACTAAAGTAAATCTGTAAAAAGAAGACACCATAGTCTCCACAAGTTTCTGGAAGAAAAAGATACTTGCTGAAATAATGTCCAATATTTATCACAACAATTTCACTGAGTTTGAGGAGAGTAATAAGTGGTTTTTAAAATATTGTTTTCACCAAAAAGTAATTAAAGCAGAGAACATTTCTGTTTCTTAGGAGGAGATAAGCATTGGAAACAGGCTCAGACTGGAGTGACTTGATGTTGCTGAGTCAGTTAGAGGTGGGGTGGGATAATGAGCTGAGCTTGCATTAGTACTTAGACTACTGAGCCAGCCAGTAGACTGAAGGAACTGGAGTACCAATGAGCTTATTCAGCATTGAGTTAGGCAGAGATTCTGAAATTTGTAAGTTTCCAAAGGTCTATTTCAGCTTCCCCAACCACACACATGAATCAGAATGGTTTTGTAACTTTGCAGCTGGAAGATCAGAAAAACCTTGTCAGATGCTGTGAATGTCATCATTCTGGAAAAGTGATATGTACGTGCAGAGTCAAAGGTTCAAGTTGAGTTAAATTTAATTAATCTCCATTAATGCTTACATATTCGCCCTCCTGCTGCTCAGAAGTGGAAGTTACTGTGAGAACACTTGCTGAGCTCTTGCAGAAAGCAATGGTCTCAAGGGATAGCACTCCACATCTGTGCACTTGAAAACGGCAATTTATTCCAGGTTATGCAACTACAATAATGCCCTGTAGTTCGACGTGTGTTGGCAGATTGAAGGTTGCAGTTGTGAATTAGTGTCGCCATGACTTCTGGCCACCACTCATTTTTGAAGGTTTAAGATTTCGTGTGTGTGAGAAGATTCTAACATGAGTCAGTTCCCTTTCATTCTGACATACTCAGGAATAATTCGTGGGCTGAACAGAAATGTGTTTTGGGTTGTCTTACATTCTCCCTACTCTAAACTGAACAAGTTCTTCATAACTTTATCCCTTTGTTTATCCGGATAATTGCAAGGAAAATGTAAATTAAATATTGTTGATCTGTGCAGGAAGACACGAATCCCAAGAACCCTTTCTTGATTGGATGATGTTACTGAGTAATATGTCATCAATTCCATGGGTCCACTCTGTCAGTTATGGAGATGATGAGGACAGTCTGTCTCTGGCATATTTGAACCGAATCAACATTGAGTTCATGAAGGCAGGTGTACGTGGACTCACAATACTCTTTGCTTCTGGTAATTGCTTTGAATTTTATGACAAATGGCTTCTAAAGAAAGTTCTTTTTTCCACTTTTAATTCTGCCTTCACATGATGCATTTAAACTTGGAATCAAGAGTGTCTTTTCTAAAAATTTAACACAACTTGCAGAACACTGAGGTACAGATGGACGTGGGTGACCTGAGACATGGATCACAAGAAGTTAACATGCAAGTATAGCAAGTGATTAGGAAGACAAATAGGATTTGGTAATTTATTGCAAGGGAAATAGAATATAAAAGTAGGGATGTTTTTGCTACAGGTGCACAGGGCGTAAATAAGACCACATCTAGGGTACAGTTTTGGTCTCCGTATTTAAGAAAGCACATAAGTGCATTAGAAGCTTTTTGGAGAAGGTTCACTCGACTGATTTCTGGGATGAAGGGATTATCTTATGGAAAGGGTGGACAGGTTGAATCTGCAGCCATTGGAGCTTAGAAGAATAAGAGATGATCTTATGGAACCAAATAAGATCCTGAAGGAACTTTATTCACTCAGGGGAAGTGGGCACTGCTGGCTGGGCATTGTCCATACATACTTGTCCTCAAGAAGATGGTACGGAGTTACCTTCTTGACAAGGTGGATGTTGAAAGGATGTTTCCCCTTGTGGGAGAGACTAGACCTAGAAAACAGTTTAAAAATAAGGGGTCTTCCATTCATGAAAGAGATGAGAAAACATTTTCCCTGAGGGTCGTGAGTCTTTGGAACTCTCCTATTTTTAAAGCAGCGGTAGTTAAATTCTTGACAATAATTGAATCATATCAAGACTATACTGGAAAGTAGAGCTGAGGACACAATCAGATCAGCCATGATTTTATCGAAAGTCACAGTAGGCTCAAAGGGCTGAATGGCCTGCTGCTACTTCTAGTTCATTGGAACCGTTTTAACTACAATGTTGTTGGCTCATTGTGCGATACATATTCAGTTTGTGAAGAAATAGCAGGGAATTCAGTCAGCATAAACATGTAACAGAATATTTGAAAGTTATTCATTTTTGGTTCTTTGGCACAGGTTTGAAATTAAAGAATTTTTTTGGCAATTTTTAGTTTAGCTGCAACCTAAAATGATATTGTTAAATAGTCTGCATTAGTTCCGATAACAAATAGTATATGGTAGTTTGTGTTTCAATCAACTTGATGTTTAGTCTAAATCCCCAAAAATTCATGAAGAGATTATACGTGTTAGCTGTATTTACAATCAAACAATATCTGTTAATACCATCCAAAAGGATGTATTTCATTTGTATTTGTTGTTGCAGAAGATGAAATATGTAAGAGGTGTAGCAAAGATTGACTATCAGAATTAAGTCTCCTTCTCTACAGTCTATCAATAAACATGAAAATAGCAAAAAAGAAATCACCAAAGACATTCATTCACAAATTAGTCTTGGCAAGTACTGTATCAGACAGAGAGTCTAATCTGATGGTGACGTTGCACTGTATTCCTGTGGTATTCCTATTCCGATGATTTGTGGCTGTTTGAATTCGGGGACCAGAACCTTGCTTTCCCCAGGGGAATGTGGATTTAATTTAAATAGCAGTAATGCTTCCACCTAACATTTTCAAGATATGTCCGTCAAAGTCTAAAGAGTTCATTTTGTTTTCAGGCCGTTAGGTAGAGAGAAAATTCTGTACGTTACTCACATCATTAAAATACAGCATAATAATGAGCTCTGCATCTTGCGAAAGTTGCAAAACCTTAAACTTTTAATTGTAAAAGCTGGTGGAAGGGGTGATGTCAGTTGAATTTTAACATTCATTTACCTTATGGACAGGTGATGATGGTGCAGGCTGCAGAGAGGTTCGAAGAGGCGTAAATATATTCAGACCAAGCTTTCCTGCATCTAGGTAATATCTCAATACACTGTGCAGCTGCCCAGTTGGGTGGGTAGGTAATATTCAGCATCCCACTTGCATTGCGTCATCAAAACTCTTGACTATTATAGCGAATAGTGACACGTGAAATTATTTATATTTATTATTTCAAAACCCATAATAGTTCTCCAGTAACAATTAATTTATTTTTTAACATTCTAGGTAAAGTTTGAAAAGTTAAGTTTCTTCTGACCTAATATATTTGTTGCAAGAACTAATTGTGAATTCTAATATGCCAAACTAGAATTGGTAAAGATCAGAAATAGTATACTGGCAGTCCAGGCCATGGAAAAGCAGAGATCAACACGGATATTCACAATTTCCATTGCTCAGCTTGCCAGTGTGGGACATTTAGAGGTTAAATGTTTGCCCACACTAAGGGAACCAACATTAGCAAGATTCATCCCCCTGTACCCTGACCTAATTATTGGTTACAGCATGACACAGCCAGCTACCCAGTGAAAAGGGGTGGCATGTCAAGGCTGGATCAGAAGAAAGTAGAGTAGGAAAGCCAAGAGGAAATATTGGGAAAGACTTTGCAATTGGCAGCCAAAGTGGCTAAGGCATCTGCCCAAAGTCACTAAAAAATCTCAAACCATTTCTAGCTCGGGCTTCAACTGAATTCAGCTGGTGAGCTGTAGACATCAAACAGGTTCTTCCCTGCAGCATACCAGTTTAGTTAAGTCATTCCGACTTAGTTAAATGAATATCACCCACTTCTACTGAAAACCAAATGATAGCTTTGAGGTGGGAGCAGAGTGGTGGAAATTACCCACTACAGGGGCACGAGAATGAGACAGAAGATCTTTGTGCATTCAAGCTCCTATTTCCATCCCCACAGCCAACTGCTGGTTAGTCAGTTCACTGCTTGTTATAGCTTGGTTCAACATGTGTTTTGCCCTTTTGTAAATTAATATTGTATTTGAGGTGGTATAATTAATCCCATTTGAACATCTAGACAGGCTGCCATAGGTTATGAGTAAGTGAGATATGGGAAGTCGGGCGTGAAAGCCTGTCTCAAAATCAAATCAAGTAGGCGTTGGGGTTTAGAGGAACATTGAAGAATACAGCCAATATTATAAAATAACACTAAGAACTGCAGATGCTGAAGATTTGAAACAAAAACAGAAATTGCTGGAGGGACTCAGCTGGTCTGGCAGCACATGTGGATAGAAAGCAGAGTTAATATTTCAAGTTCTGTGACCCTCCTTCAGCCACTATTGCCTCTGCTGCTTAATACAATCTTTGGGCAAGACAGTTTGATCACTGCCAGCTGAGAATTGCTCCACAGTGTGGAGTTGGGTAACCATTTACTATGTAACTTATAACCTTTTTATTTTCATCAGTTGTACCCATACAGAAGACAGCATTTAGGGGTCATTAATTGTTATAGAAGAAGTTATTACAACGATAGATTTCAGGAAAAGATCCTATCATAGAAAATGCCATTATAATAAATATGTTTATTGTATGTGATGCTCAGCCATAACCAATTACTAAATTTCTTTCAGCCCATATGTCACAACTGTGGGAGGAACGTCCTTCAAGAATCCCTTTCAAATTACCTCTGAGGCCACAGATTACATCAGTGGTGGTGGATTCAGTAACGTGTTTAAGATGCCAGACTATCAGTTAAGTACACCTGTTGATCACTAAATTGATTTTGATTTTGTTTTACTGAAGGTGGCTTCCTAATGAAGAGGTATTCCCAGATGATGCAGACATAGGATCACCCAAAATAGATGCAGAAACTTAACTCATTTTAATAACGTAATGATGCTGAAGATTCCATATACTCCTACCTCCCCAAGAAAGACACATGTCAGATAGGATAATGGTGTGGCAGTAATAATTAGGACCTTTCTCCTACCTCCAGTTCAAAAAAGGCAGCATGGCATATAGGATAATGGTGTGGACGTTTTACAGTCCAAGATGTGAAGTGAGCCGCTCCTGCACCTTGTGCAGCCTGTGTGACCTTGGAATGTGATTGTAACTATGGCTACCAAAGTGAATAACTAAAGTGAATCTTTTTAGGCTGCAGGATATTGTTTGTGCTTCTCAAACATAGCTTACTAAAGGATAAGAGTCATAGTCATTGAGTCATGGATGTCCACTTATATGGTTGGGAATGCTTGGGGCCAGGATGTTTAATCGACACAGTGACCACAAAGAGAGTAAGTGAAGAGCCCGGAGAAGCACCCTGGTCCAATTCATGAGCTGGGTTCTTGCCCCTGCGTGCAAAGTGTCCTGGCAACAGAATTCCAGGTTGCATGTCTGTGTCTGTGTCTGTGTCTGAGTCTGTGTGTCTTTGTGTCTGTACAAAAGCAGCCACTATGCATGCACAAGCAGTAACTTTGCATGCACAGAGCATGATCCGAGGTTTTGGGGTCTGTTGTTCAGGGGAGCAACTCATGAGCTGGAGTTGCCAGGTACCCAATTTGACTTTCATAGCAGGAATTGATGCCATTTGTTTTCTCTGCAGCCCATGGCAGAATAGTCAACTGCACATAAATGTCATGAGATCAGGTACTAATGCATGCAAACAGACCAGTCTCCATTCACAAATGAAATTCTCATCCCCCCATTTAAAACGTGAATGTGAAAGCAGATTCTATTTTCTTGATGTCAACAACCGCACTTTTCTGATCTTGCCATTTTTTCCCAACTGATTCACTCTTGCCCACATTGTTCAGGGCTGAGAAAATTCACCCCATGTGTCTATTGCTTCTTGAATGTTCAATATATTCACGTTGTTCAACCATATAGTCATAGAGTTATACAGCACCAAAAAAGACCCTTCAGTCTGACTCCCCATGCTGACCAGATATTCTAAATTAATTTAGTCCCATTTGCCAGCATTTGGCCCAAATCCCTCTTAAACCCTTCCTATTCATATACGCATCAAGGTGCCTTTTAAATGTAGTAATTGTACCAGCCTCCACCACCACCTCTGGCAGCTCGTTCCATACACACACCACCCTCTGCATGAAAAGGTTGTCCCTTAGGTCCCTTTTAAATCTTTTCTGTCTCACCTTAAATCTACGTCCTCAGGGTGAATAGTCAAGGTCTTTCCCCAATCTCTGATGATTTTATAAACTTCTATTACATCACCCCTCAGCCTCTGCACTCCAGGGAAAGTAGCCCCAGCCTACTCAGCGGCTCCCTATAGCTCAAACCGTCCAACACTGGCAACATCCTTGTAAATCTTTTCTGAAGCCCTTCAAATTTCACAGCATCTTTCCTACAATCTGGTAGGGCAGAGAAAAATAACAGGGTTAACAAATGTTTTGAACTTGAGTTTTCATCATGCATTGGAGACTAAAATGACAGAAGATTAATTTTATTAGCTGGTTCTCAAAAGAAATCAAACTCCGGATAAAATAATCAATTCTCACAAAGCTGTAGTGTCCATTACAAGGTGTGAATCAGTTTTAAGTCTACATTTTTCTTGAAATGATACAAATAGATTTGATACATAGTTGAAAATAAAAGCTGGGTAATATCCAATTTCATTTTACAGGCTGCTGCTGTGAAGTCCTACCTTAGAAGGATGAAATCACTTCCCCCAGCTACATACTATAATGTTAGTGGCCGTGCCTATCCTGATGTAGCAGCTCTATCCGATAACTACTGGATTGTAAGCAACCTAATCCCAATTCCGTGGATTTCTGGGACTTCAGTAAGTTACATTATTTTACCCACGAATGTATTTCAGCAAATGAGGTTGTGCATGAGGCCCCATAATGAATAGGCCTGTTTTAATTTTCTGGCCCCAGTTCACTGGGAGTTGAGGGGAAAATATCTTCAAATCACTCCAAGACAGGTCACATCAAACAATTGGAAACTCGACTGGAAGATCAGTGAATGGGAGAAGGCAGTTACACTGCAACTGGGATGTTGAGATGGGGCTAGTAAGGAATCTATGCAGAAAGTTCAAGAACTCCACACCATCATGGTGCTTCTCTATTCTGAACCTGAATAATAAAGCACAATAAGGTAACATTTTCATGAAACAGATTAAAAACAAATTTTCCGATGTAAAGTCACAGAGTTTTACAGCATGGTCAACAAGCATCTCTCTAGTCCCAATTTCCTTCTCTTGCCCTGTAACCTTTATTGAAATTGCTCAGAGATGTTATTGTACACCTCTGGAGCAGGTGGGACTTGAAGTGGGCCTCCTGGTCCAGAGGTAGGGACACTACCACTGCAACACAAGACCCCTTCTCCCGTAGCCTTTTATGCTATGGTTCTTCAAATGATCATTGAAATGCTTCTGTAAATATTTTGATGGTTCCTGCCTCCAACAGTCTTTCAGACAATGGGTCCAGATACCCACTGCTCTCTGGGTGAAAAATTTCTTCCCTAGAGCCTCTCTCAGCCTCCTAGTCTTAAAATTATGGCCTTTGGTTATTGACCCTTCTACTAAAGGGAAAAATGTCTTCCTATCCATGCCCTCAATTTGTACACCTCACCCAGGCCCCCTTCAGGCTTCTCTGTTCCAAGGAAAATGGCCCCAAAACTACCAAGTCTCTCTTCATATTTGAATTGCTCCAGCCCAGGCAACATTCTGATGAGTCTCATCTGCACTCTGTCTACTGCAGTCACATCCCTTTAAGAATGTGGTGACCAGAACTACACTTGGTTCTCCAGCTATGGCCTAGCTAACATCTTAACTCCAACGTAACCTCCATTCTCTGCTCATAAAAGCATTTGCCTTCTTAATCACTTTACCTACTTGTCCTGTTGCTTTCAAGGAGCTGTGCCTATACCAACCAAGGTCCCTCTGATCCTTTGTAGTTCATAGGGTCCTCCCATTCATAGTGTACTCCCTTGCCTGAGCAATGTGCAAATTGGCATAGCGACATGAGTATAAGGGAAGTAAACACATGGCTAAAAGAGTGGTACCGGAAAGAGGGGTTTCTTTTCATGGGGCACTGGCATCAGTATTGTAACAGGACGGATCTGTACCGCTGGGACCAATGTTCTAGCGAAAAGGATGCATCGGGTAGTCATCAGGAATTTGAACTAGAAAGATGGCGGGGGAAGGGAAGGGTAAAACTCCAAGAAGGATAATGGCTAATGGGAAACAAAGCAGCAGGTTAACATCTGTCGGGGTGGATTCAACTGCATGGGAAAGTATGAAAAGAAAGGAAAATTCAGGAGAGATTATTGAAGTTTCCAGCACACACAATAGGACAGATTGTTTGGAATGAGTTAGGAATCAAACTTCAAGCACACTGGATAAATGAGTGACAATATAGGACTGAAGGTGTTGTATCTGAATGCATGCAGTGTTTGAAACAAGGTAAATGAGCTTCTGGTGCAGATCGAAATTGGCAGCTCTGATATGGTGGGCATCACGGAGACATGGCTATAAGGGGATCAGGACTAGGAGCTAAATATTCAAGGATACCCATATACACCCTATTGAAAAGACAGGCAGGTGAACAGAGTGAGTAGGGTTGCCTTATTAATAAGAAATGAAATTAAATCAACAGCAAGAAACGAACTAAGATCAGATGATGTAGAATCTGTGTGGGTAGAGTTGAGGAACCACAAAGGTTTAAAAAAAAAAGCCATAATGGGAGCTATGTACAGGCCTCCAAACAGTAGTCCGGATTTGGTGCACAAGATACACCAGTAGATAGAAAAGGCGTGTAAGAAAGGCAAGGTTACACTGATCATGAGGGATTTCAATATGCAGGTGGACTGTTAAAATCGGGTTGGTTTTGGATCGCAAGAACAGGAATTTGTGGAATTTCTACAAGATGGCTTTTTGTAGTTTGTGGTAGAGCCCAGTGGGGAACAGACAATTCTGGATTTAGTGATGTGCAATGAGGCAGACTTGATAAGGGAGATTAAGGTGAAGGACCTTAGGAGGCAGGGACCATAATATGATAGAATTTACTCTGCGATATGAGAGGGAGAAGGTGGAATCAGATGTAATGGTATTACAGTTGAATAAAGGCAACTACAGAGACGTGAGGGAGGAGCTGACCAGAATTGACTGGGCGAGGAGCCTAGCAGGAAAGACAGTGGAACAGCAATGGCAGGAGTTTCTGGGAGTAATTTGGGAGACACAGCAAAAATTCTTCCCTAGGAAAAGGAAGCATACTAAAGGGAAGATGATGCAACCATGGCTGACAAGGGAAGTCAGGGACAGCGTAAAAGTGAAAGAAAAACTATGTAATGTGGCGAGGGGCGGGGGAAGCCAGAGGATTGGGAAGCCTACAAAGATAAACGGAGGACAACGAGAAAAGAAATAAGGAGGTAGAAGACTAAATATAAGGGTAAGCTAGCCAGTAATACAAAAGAAGATTGCAAGAGTTTATTTAGATATATAAAGGGCAAGAGTGGACATTGGGCTGCTAGAAAATTATGCTGGAGAAGTAGTAATGAGGAGCAAAGAAATGGCTGATGAACTGAATAAGTACTTTGAGTTAGTTTTCACAGTGGAAGACATGAGTAATAAACCAAAAATTCAAGAGAGTCCAAGGCACAGAGCTGAATGTGGTGGCTATCACCAAGGAGAAGGTGCTAGAAAAACTGAAAGGTCCAAAGGTGGATAAATCAGATGGACTACATCCCAGAGTTCTGAAGGAATAGCTGAAGAGGTAGTGGAGGTGTTAGTGATGATCTTTCAGGAATCACTGGCGTCAGGGAGGGTCCCAGAGAAGTAGAAAATCACTAATGTAACCCCCCTGTTTAAGAAGGGGATAGGGCAAAAGATGGGAAATTATAAGCCGATTAACCTGACCTTAGTTGTTGGTAAAATTTTGGAGTCCATTGTGAAGGATGAAATTTTGGAATACTTGGAAGTGCATGGTAAAATAGGGAAATGTCAGAATGGTTTCATCAAGGGGAGGTCATGCCTGACAACTCTGGTAGAATTCTTTGAGGAGGTAACGACCAGGTTAGACAAAGGAGAGCCAATGGATGTTATCTACCTGGACTTCAAAAAGGCTTTTGATAAGGTGCCGCACAGGAGATTGCCGAGTAAGATAAGGGCCTATGGTGTTAGAGGCAAGGTGCTAGCATGGATAGAAGATTGGCTGTCTGGCAAAAGCAGAGAGTGGGGATAAAAGGGTCTTTCTCAGGATGGCAGCCAGTGACTAGTGATGTTCCACAAGGGTCAGTATTGACCACAACTTTTCACTTTTATGTGTTAACAATCTTGATGAAGGAACTGAGGGCATTCTGGCTGTTTGCAGATGATACAAAGATAGGTGGAGGGACAGGTAGTATTGAGGAGGCAGGGAAGGATTTGGACAGGTTAGGAGAGTGGGCAAAGAAGTGGCAGATGGAATACAATGTGGGAAAGTGTGAGGTCATGTACTTTGGTAGGAAAAATAGAGGAATAGACTATTTTCTAAATGGGGAGAATATTCAGAAGTCAGAAGTGCAAAGGGACTTGGGAGTCCTAGTCCAGGATTCTCTTAAGGTAAACATGCAGATTGAGTCGGTAGTTAGGAAGGTAAATACAATGTTGGCATTTATTTCAAGAGGACTAGAATATGGAAGCAGGGATGTACTTCTGAGGCTTTATAAAGCTCTGCTCAGACCACATTTAAAGTATTGTGGGCAATTTTCGGCCGCATATCTCGAAGGATGTACTGGCCCTGGAGCAGGTGCAGAGGAGATTCACGAGAATGATCCCAGGAATGAAAGGCTTAACATATGAGGAACGTTTGAAGACTCTGGATCTAAACTTGATTGAGTTTAGAAGGATGAGGGGGAATCTAATTGAAACTTACAGAATACTGAATGGCTTGGACAGAGTGGATGTTGGGAAGATGTTTCCTTCAGCCAAAGAGTGGTGAATCTATGGAATTCAGTGCCTCAGAAGGCTGTGGAGGCCATGTCATTGAGTATATTAAAGGCAGAGGTAGATAGGTTCTTGATTGTCAAGGGGATCAAGGGTTATGGGGAGAAAGCAGGGGAATGGGTTGAAAAACTTATCAGCCATGATTGAATGGCAGAGCAGACTCAACAGTGGCTTAATTTCTGGTCTTACGGTCTAAATGCTTGATAACCCTCCCAAAATGTATCACCTCACACTTGTCAGGATTTATTCTATTTGCAATTGTTCATTACATTATCTATTATATTTTATCTTCATGTGAAAACTTTATGTTGGCATCTGAGTTAAGTTAATTTTGAAATGTCAGACAGGAAAGATTTGATTTATTGTTGTCACATGTATCATACAGTGAAAAGTATTGTTTTGCATGCTATCCAGACAGATCATACCTTACATAAGTACATCAGGGTAATAGAACAGAATGCAGAATATAGTCTTACAGCTATGCAAAAGGTGCAGAGAAAGATCAACTTTAATATATGAGAGATTCGTTCAAAAGTCTGATAACCGTGAGGAAGAAGCTGTTCTTGAATCTGTTCGTCCATGTTTTCAAACTTTTGTAATCCTCTGACGAGTGGAAGAGAGTATAACAGGGGCGGGAGGGGTCTTTGATTATGTTGGCTGCTTTCCCGAGGCAGCAGGAAGTATAGATGGAGTCCATGAAAGGAAGGCTGGTTTGCGTGGTGTACTGGGCTACATTCACAAGTCTTTGTAATTTCTTGCCGTCTTGAGAAGATTAGTTTCCATGCACGCTGTTATTCATCCAGATGGGATGCTTTCTCTGGTCCATCTATAAAAATTGCTTAGAGTCTTTGTAAACATGCTGAATTTCCTTAGCTTTCTGATGAAGTAGAGGTATTAGTATGCTTTCCTGACTGTAGCATCAACTTGGATAGACCAGGACAGATTGTTGGTGGTATTTACTCCTAGGACCTTGAAGCTCTCGACTATCTACACCTCAGCACCATTGATACAGACAGGAGCGTGTCCATTCTGCTTCCTGAAGTTAATGACCAGCTCCTTTGTTTTGCTGACATTGAGGGAGAGACTTTTGTGTTTACACCATGCCATTAAATTGATTATCTCTTTCCTGTATCCTGTCTCGTCATTGTTTAAGTTACAACCCACAACCGTGGTTTCTTCAGCAAACTTGTAAATTGAGGTTTAGGAAGCTGTTATATAAAAATTACCACTATAGTCAAAAAGATTGAGTTTATCCACAAAGTCCACATTCATCATATTTGGAGTTCAGTCATTGTTACTGACTGCTATACTGAATGAATTCATAAAGATCTTGAAAGCTAATTAATTTGCTAAATGGCAGATTTTTTTTTCTTTTTTATATAATGGAATTGTGTAACTTTGTCTTTCTCTGCAGGCCTCAACCCCAGTCTTTAGCGGAATCTTGGCCCTCATAAATGATCACCGGTTCCAGAAAGGTCTTCCAGCTCTTGGTTTTGTTAACCCATTGCTTTATAATTTACAGGAGAAAGGCATAACTGAAGCATTCTTTGATGTAAGTTAAAACAAGACTAATTCTAAATTGCTGCCACCTCTGTATTGCCTGATATTTTAAATATTAATATGTATTTGTTTCGTAAGGCAGTGTTCTGGTTTTTTGTAGTTCTGTCAATGATTTAGGTATAAGTAGGGGTTCAGAGACTGTTTATGAAGTTTGAGAATGAACAAGTATTGGCTGTGGTTGTTAGTGAGGAAGAAGGCTATAGAGGAGGTTGAGAATTTCAAATGTCCCAACTAAATCTGAGGGCCCTGATAACAAAAAGCTTCTTCAGATATTTAAATCAGAAGAGAGTAACTGAATCAGGTGTTGATCTTTTGAGAGAAACAGTCTGGGCAATCAATAACTGAAAACAAGGAAATAGTGGGACTTTGAATAGTTATTTTCACCCTCGAACATGTATGAAAATCAAGAAGAGGAGAGTGGGAGAGTGGAACGTAAAATGAACACTGTCACCAGAAAACTATTAGAGGTTATTTATTTATTTCTGTGGGATGTGGGTATTGCTGACTGGCCAGCATTTATTGCCTGTCCCTCGTTTCCCTTGAGAAGGTGTTGGTGAGCTGCCTTCTTGAACCGCTGCAGTCTACCCGATGTGGGTTGACCCACAATATAGTGCCAGTCAAGTGGGCTGCTTTGTCCTGGATGATGTCAAGCTTCTTCAGTGTTGTTGGCTGCACTCATCCAAGCAAGTGGGGAGTATTCCATCCCATTCCTAACTTGTGCCATTTGGATGGTGGATAGGCTATGGAGAGTCAGGTGTTGTTACTCTCCACAGCATTCCTAACCTCTGACCTGCTCTTGTAGCCACTGTACTTGTATAGTGAGGCCAGTTGAGTTTCTGATCAATGATGACCCCCAGGATGTTGACAGTGGGGGATTCAGTGATGGTAACACCATTGAATGTCAAGTTACGGTGGTTAGATTGTCTCTTATTGGTGATGGTTATTGCTTGGCATTTGTGTGGCGCGAATGTTACTTGCCACTTGTCAGCCCAAGCCTAGATATTGTCCAGATCTTGTTGCATTTAAACACGGACTGCTTCAGTATCTAAGGAGTCGCGAATGATCTGAATATTATGCAATCATGGGCGACCATCCCCATTTCTGATCTTATCAAGGTCATTGATGAAGCAGCTGAAGATGGTCAAGCCTAGGATACTACCCTGAGGAACTCCTGTAGAGATGTCCTGGAGTTAAGAAGACTGCCCTCCAACAACCACGACCATCTTCCGATGTGTCAGGTATGACTCCAGCCAGTGGAGGGTTTATCCCGAATTCCCATTGATTCCAGTTTTGCCAGGGCTCCTTGATGCCACACTCAGTTGAATGCAGCCTTGATGTTTAGGGCTGTCACTCTCACCTCACCTCTGGAATTCAGCTCTTTTGTCCATGTTTGAACAACGACTGTATTGAGGTTAGGAGCTGAGTGGCCCTGGCGGAACCCAAACTGGGCATCACTGAGCAGGTTATTGCTGAGCAGCTGCTGTTTGATAGCACTCTTGATGACACCTTCCGTCACTTTACTGATCATTGACAGTAGACTAATGGGGCAGTAATTGGCCGGGTTGGATTTGTCCTGCTTTTTATATACACAACATACTTGGGCAGTTATTCACATTGTCGGATAGATGCCAGTGTTGTAACTGTACTGGAACTGTTTGGTGAGGGGAGCAGCACGTTCTGGAGCACAAGTATTCAGTACTATTGCCAGAATGTCATCAGGGCCCCCGTTTCTTGATATCATGTGGAGTGAATCAAATTGGCTGAAGACTGGTATCTGAAATGCTGGGGTCCACTGGAGGAGGCCGAGATGGATCATCCACTTAGCACTTCTGGCTGAAGATTGCTGCGAATGCTTCAGCCTTATCTTTTATACTCTTGTGCTGGGCTCTTCTATCATTGTGGAGCCTCCTCCTCCAGTGTGTTGTTTAATCGTCCACTGCGGTTCACGACCAGATGTGGCAGGACTGCAGAGCTTAGATTTGATCCGTTGGTTGTGGGATCACTTGGCTCTGTCTATCACTTGCTGCTTATACCGTTTGGTGTGCAAGTAGTCCTGTTTAGTGGCTTCACCAGGTTGACACCTCATTTTAAGGTATACATGGTGCGGCTCTTGGCATACCCTCCTGCACTCTCCATTGAACCAGGGTTGATTCCCTGGTTTGATGGTAGTGGTTGAGTGGGGGATATGCTAGGCCATGAGGTCACAGATTGTGCTGGAGTACAATTCTGCTGCTGTTGATGGTCTACAGCACTTCATGGATGCCCAATCTTGAGTTGCTAGATCTGTTAAAGTCTGTCCTATTTAGCACAGTGGTAATGGCACAATGGAGGTCATTCTCAGTGTGAAGGCAGGACTTCGTCTCCACTTGGACTGTGCAGTGGTTGCTGTTACCAATACTGTCATGGACAGATGCATCGGCAGCTGGTGAATTGGTAAGGATGAGGTCAAGTATGTATTTCCCTCACCGCCTGCCGCACACACAGTCTAGCAGCTATGTTCTTTAGGACCCAACCAGCTCGATCAGTAATGCTGCTCCCGAACCATCGTTGGTTGTGCACATTAAAATGCCTCACCCAGAGCACATTTTGTGCTCTTGCCATCCTCAGTGCTTCCTCCAAGTGTTGTTCAACATGGAGGAGTACTGATTCATCAGCTGAGGTACAATGGTACGTGGTAATCAGCAGGAGGTTTCCTTGCCCATGTTTAACCTGAAGCCATCAGACTTTATGGGGTCTGGAGTCAATGTTGAGGACTCCCAAGGCAAGGTGTTAAATGGCTTAAAGGAAGTCCTAGCAACAGGGCTCCATACCAGGAATGGTATGTTGCCTCCCTGGTGCCAGGCTCAGGGATATCACCGAATGGCTGCAGGGTATTCTGAAGAGGAGCCCAGCAGACTGGTACAGACTAGCACCAACAACACAGATAGGAAAAGAAGAATTTAGAGGGCTAGGAAGTAGATTAAAGAACAGGACCCAAAAGGTAGTAATCTCTTATCATGTGCACACAGTTCTCCAGCTGTTGCGTAACCAAAGCATTCCATATACCTTAACTACCCTATTAATCTATCCTAGGGATCTGTGAACAAATGACCCAAACTTCCTCTGAGCTTCCTAGTGTCTTGTCATTTATTGAGTATTCCCTTGACCTGTTCACTTTTCTAAAATGAATTAACTCCCATCAGGGTTAAATTCAACCTGCCACAAATCTAAAATCTGAGGACAGGCCAATTTTAATGAGATCTCATTGATTTGGCTAGAGTGGACTGGGAGCAGATACTTTTAGGTAAATATCTGAGCAGTGGGGCACATTTAGAAAGGAAATAGGGAAAGTACAGGACCAATATGTTCCAATAAAGACAAAGACTGGGACTAACAAATCCTGTAAACCTTGATATCAAGGGATATCCATGATGGGACAACGGGTAAAAAAAGAGAGCCTTATGCATATACTGAGGGCTGAAATCAAAAAGCCCTAGAGGAGTACAGAAATGTGCAAGGGGAAACTGATGAAAGGATGACTAGGGAAAGAGTAGGGCCCCTTAAGGACCACAGTGGTAATTTGTGTGTGGAGCTAGAGGACGTAAGTAGAATTTTAAACGAATAATTTCTGTCAGTGTTCACTAGTGAGAGGGATGATGTGGATATAGAAATCAGGGAGAAGAACTGTGATACACTTAAAGAAGTTCGGGTAGACAGAGATGAGATTCTGCGTGGTCCGGCAAGCTTAAAACTAGATAAATCTCCAGTGCTGGATGAAATGTATCCCAGGCTATTAAGTGACACAAGGGAGCAATAATTGTCAATTCCTTCCTAGCCACAGAAGAGGTACTAGAGGACAACCAATGTGATACCATTATTCAAGAAGGGAGCAAAGGATTAAACAGGAAACTACAGGCTAACCTCAGTGGTGGAGAAACTATTGGAGGCAATTCTGAGGGGCATAATTAATCTGTACTTGGAAAGGCAGGGATTAATCAAGAATAGTCAGCATAGTTAAAAGGTGGTCATTCCTGACCAACTTGATTGAATTTGTGGGAGAGGTAACCAGGTGAGAGCAGTGCATTAGTTTACGTGGACTTCAACAAGGCTTTTGATAAGGACCTGCATGGGAGACTGATAGCAAAGGTAAGAGCCCATGAGATCCGAGGAAATTTGGTAAATTGGATTCACAATTGGCTAAATGGCAGGTGGAGATGGTCAAGGGGTGTTTTTGTGACTGAAAGCCTGTGTTCATTGGGGTTCTGCAAGGAGCAGTGTTGGGGCCCTCGCTGTTTGTAATATAAAAAGATTTAAACTTGAATGTAAGGGGTTTGATCAGTAAGTTTGCAGATGGTACAAAAATTAGTGGGGTGGCAAATAGTGGTAAGATAGCCTTAGATCACTGGAGGATGTAGACAGGCTAGTCAGATGGACTTATCAGTATCAAAATTGATTTCAATCCAGATAAGTGTGAGATGACATACTTGGACAGGACTAACAAGGCAAGGGAACACCTCACATTTATCTAAATTAAATTTCATCTGTGATCTTTGGCCCATTTGCCCATCTGATCAAAACCCCGTCGTACTCTGAGATAATCTTCTTGGCTGTCCACTATACCACCACTTCTGGTGTCATGTGCAAACTCACTAACTATACCTCCTATATTCACATCCAAAAAAAAAGTTCTGAAGAATGGTCACCGGACCAGAGGAAAGTTTGCTCCTGATTCCCATTGATGTCAGTTTTGCTAGGGCTCCTTGATGCCAGGTTCAGTCAGATGCCTCCTTGATGCCAAGGGCTGTCACTGTCACTTCACTCCTGGAATTTGAATCAAGGCTGCAATGAAGTTAGGAGCTGAGTGACCCTGGTGGAACCCAAACCGAGCGTGACGGAGCAGGTTATTGCTGAGTAGGTGCTGCTTGATAACATAGCTGATGACACCTTTCATCACTTTACTGAAGCTTGAGAGTAAAAAGATGGGGTGATATTTGGTGAGATTGGATTTGCTGTGCTTTCTGTGTACAAGCCATACCTGGACAATTTTCCACATTGTCAGGTAGATGCCAGGGTTTTAACTGTAATGGAACAGCTTGGCCAAGGGTGCAGCAGGTGCTGGACCACAAGCCTTCAATACTATGCCAGAATGTTGTCAAGGCCCATAATCTTAGTAGTATTCAGTGCCTCCAACTACTTCTTGACATCACACGGAGTAAATCAAATGGCTGAAGACCGGACTCTGTGATGTTAAGGCCAACTGGAGGTGGCAGAGATGGTTCTGGTATAGCTATAATACTAGCATCTAACTGAATGTGTAAAATTGCCCAGGCTATCCCCTATATCCAAATAGTGATCCAATTGCTGCTTCAGTCTACATTAGCAGTAAAGTAATGAAAGATCATCAGCCCTGCTATGAAGCAGAATTTTGTGGTGGGGAGTTGAGGGAAGAGAAGAGCACTTGTGGTGGTGTTCCTCTCTCTGGGCTAAAAGTCCCAGGTTCAAATCCCACTTATTCTAGAAAGGAGTTGTAACACATCTGAACAGGTTGATTAAGATGTATAAAGCAGCACCAGTTTAGCAATAATCTGCTCATTGATCCTCAGTTTGGATTCTGCCAGGGCCATTTAGCTACTGCCCTCATTACATTGAAGCATAGCTGAATTCCAGAGGTGAGGAGAGAGTGACTGCCCTTAAGCATCATGGCTGCATTTGACTGAGCATAGCATGAAGGGAAAAAAGGGAAAATTATCCACTGATGAGTCATGTCTAGCACAAAGGAAGATGGTTGTGATTGTTCGAAGTTAGTCATTTGCAACTCCAGGACATCTGCAGGGTAGATATTCTCTAATCTGTTCAGAGATGCTGTTACAGACCAATGGAGCAGGTAGGGCTTGAACCCGGGTCTCCTGGCCCAGAGGAGTTCTGCAGGGTAACATCCCATGTCCAGCCATCAATTGTTTCATCAATGACCTTCATTCCATCATGAGGTCAGAAGTGGTGATGTTCACTGATGACTGCAGAGTGCTCAGCACCAGTTACAACTCCTCAGATACTGAACACTCCATGTTCAAATCTTGCTGCATTTGGACATGGACTAGGTACAGATTTGGGCTGAAAACTGGCACGTAACATTCACACCACACAAGGGCCAGGCTTGACTATCTTGAACAAGAGAATAATCTAGTTATCACCCTTCTGGCCAACAGCATTACCAGAAACTGGACAAGCTATGTAAATACAGTAGCTGCAAGTTTGTGTAAAATATTAGATATCCTGAAGCAAGTAACTCAGCACCTGATTCCCCAAAGCCTGTCCACTATCTACAAAGGTACAAGTCAGGACTATGATGGGATGCTGCCCACTTGCCTGGGTGAACACACCTCCAACAGCTGTGAAGAAGCCTGATACCATCTAGGTCAATTCAGCCTCCTTGACTGACACCGCATTGACGATGATTCATTCCCTCCGCCACTGGCACTCAGAGCACAGCTTAGATGTACACACTGCTGCTACTAACAAATCATAAAGGCTCCTTAAACAGCCTCTTACAAATCCATAACCACTACCAGCTAGAAGGACAAACACCATCACCTATAGCTTGCCTTCCAAACCATTCTGACTAGGATATGTATTGCTGGCCCTTCAGTGTTGCTGGATCAGAATCCTGGAACTTCCTCCGTAACAGTGTTGTGGGTCTACCTACACCAAGTGGTCGATAACAGTTCAAGGAAGAAGCTCGCCACCTTCTCAAGGGCAACTAGAGAAAGTCAATGTGCCCCAGCCAACAACACTCACTTCTCAAGAATGGATGAAGAAAAGCCATATTAAAAGTTTCTATACAAATTAAAAGCCAATGGTGACAGAGATAACAACATTACTTTGGATATAGGATTGGCCAACTGACAAGCAGAGAGAATTCTTCATGGCAGAAGCACTGGATAATTTTTCAGATTGGCAAGCTGTAATAGTGGATCTGTGCTAGCTTATTAAACCATTTACAATCCAAATCAATAACTTAGATAATGGGACCAAACATTTGGTAGCCACATTTGCTCATGACATCAAGCTACATAGGAAACTAGGTTGGCTACAGGAGGAATTATATGCAAAGGTTAAGCCAGTGTGTAAAATTTGGCAGTAAGAATAGAACATAGAAAATTTTAAACGTATCCATTTTGACACAATGAATAGAAAACCTGTATGTTATTAAAGTAGAGAATACTACAGACCTTGGTGAAAGAGGGATCTGGGTGCTCTGGGAAATGAATCATTATTATGCAGGTATAGCAATTGACTAGGAAGGCAAATAGAATGCTGGCATTGATTGCAAGGGAATGAAATATTAAAATAAGAAAGTTTTACTTCAGATGTACAGGGCCTTATCTGACCATATCTGGAGTACTCTTTCAAATAAGGTGGTCAAAATTGTACAAAGAAGATATAAATGCATTCGAGCAGTTCAGAGATGTTTCGCTCAACTAATTCATGGGATCCAGTTCTTACCTGAGATTGAAAGATTGAACAGGTTACTTAAATCCCAATAAGAACAAAGATCAGTTGATTAAAAGTCCCAGAAATCAACCACTAGGGGAAGAGTTTAATTAGATTCCCCTCAACAATCCCACTGAATTCAGAAATTTACTACACGTAGAATCCAAAATACGATCAAATGAGCAGGAGAAAGTTTTCTTGTGTATCTACTTTGCTTTATAATGAATAAAATGTTCACATGTTGGCAAAATTACTTAAACAAAAGCTTAGTCTTAAATTCAGAACACAGATAGTTGAGTCTAATAGGACTCCAAGTTGAACTGGGACAGAAACATTTCATTGCTCCGTAGTATAGGAATTATCACTTGCCTATGAACTCATCAAGATCTAATCATAACACTGAATAATTAATTTATTACTACTTTATAAATTTAGTCCAGAGAAATGCCTTGTACTGTCAAAAAATACCTTTAATCCTCAAAGAGTATAGTACAATATGCTCAGTTTGAGGGCTGGAAAATAATGTTAAAATACATGTTAAGGTTAATGAAAATATAGTACTTAAAAGGTGTTCTGGTTACTTGCTAATTGTGAATTCTCAATTTTCTCTTTAAATCATTAGGTAACTACAGGATGCCACTTAGGCTGTCTGGATGAAAAAACTGAAGGGCAGGGATTTTGTGCTTCCCAGTCTTGGGATCCTGTGACAGGATGGGGGACACCTAACTATCCACAACTACTCAAGGCACTCCTTGCAGGCAAATTGGCTGATCCATAACTTGAATCAAGTAGTTACAATTTTAATGTAAACTACATGCTGTTTCCAGCTATTAAATTTTGTGTATGTGCCGAGACCATTAGTGTTTTTCCAGAAATTCACGGAAACAATGTTTTATTGTAATCTTAAATTATGATTTGGGTTTTTTTCATTAGAAGGAATCTGCAAATAAGGATAAATAAGACCAATACAGTCAAATGATTATTGTATTTTTCAATGCTGCTTAAAATTTATATCAATGCCGCTGACAATATTTTCATTGAATTACTGATCAATGAATTCAATATTAACTCAATTTCAGTAGCTGAGCAAAAATGAAACATACCTTAAATCTAAAAAATACCAAGTCCCCTCTTAATGTAATGGATTTTATAACTAGTTGGTTATGAGTAAGTTAAACAATTCAAGTAAGTTTGTAGGTTGTTGTTGAACTTTGAATGGTCAGTTGGCAGAGTCAGAATGATAACATTTGAATATGCTGATAAAATACTGGTGAAAGATTTTATTTACATAATTTGTACATTGATTGCAAAGGTACATTGATTGAGAAGCAATACAGAAATAAAGTGCATTTAAAGAGGCCCACATTAGGCCACTCATATTTATAGCTATACATTTTGTTTACGGTTATGCAGTCCTAGATGATCAGGTACCATCTGTCGATCAAACACATAGTGAAGGTATCGATAGATTTCTTCAGCTCGGCGGTGACTAACCTTTCCTCGAGATGCTAATTCATCCACTGAACTAAAATGAAGGAAAATAATAAGCTTAACTAAAAAAAAAATTATCAAATAATAGGACTTTCACAACAATAGTAAGTGCGTACCTCAAAAGATGTGTAATACTGAACACCAATGATGTATACAATTGTTTACAAAATTAAATTCTTTCATCAAATAAAATCTTTGATATCCTGGATTTTTTAATGCACAATTGTACTTTGTTTTTAAAAGTAATAACCACTGGGAGAGGTGTAGGAGGAATACAACAAGAAACATACAGATGTACAGCCTGGAAACAGGCCCTTCGGTCCAACCCGTCCTTATATCATGGACAGTGGCTTAGTGGCTGGCACTGCTGCCTCATGCCACCAGGGACCCAGGTTTGATTCCAACCTTGGGTGATTTGTCTGTGTGGAGTTTGATGTTCTCCCCATGTCTGCGTGGCTTTCCGCCGGGTGCTCCGGTTTCCTCCCACACTTCAAACACATGCAAGTTAGGTGGTTTGGCCGTGCTAAATTGCCCATAGTGTTCGGGTTAGGTGCACTAGCCATGGGAAATGCAGGGTTACAGAGGTAGGGTAGGGGGATGGGTCTGGGTGGGATGCTATCGAAGGTCAGTGTGGACTTGTTGGGGTGAATGACCTGTTTCCACACTGGAGATTCTGTGATATCCTAAATTAATCTAGTCCCATTTGCTACGTTCCTCTAAAACCCTTCCTATTCGTGAACCTGTCCAGATACTCTTAAATGTTGTAACTGTACCAGCCTCCTCCACCACCACCTCCTGGCAGCTTATTCCATACATGCACCACCTTCTGCATGAAAAAGTTGCCCCTTAGGCCCCTTTTAAACCTTTTCCCTTAAAACTATGCCGTCCAGTTTTGGACATTCTAATCCTGGGAAAAAGACCTTGACTATTCATCCTATCCATGCCCTTCATGATTTTATAAACTTCTATTAGGTCACCCCTCAGCCTCCAATGCTCTAGGGAAAATAGCCTCAGCCAATTCAGCCTCTCCCTATAGCTCAAACCTTTTAAAGTTTGACAACATCTTGCCTATAGCAGGGATACCAGAACTGAACACATTATTCCAAAAATGGCCTAACCAATATCCTGCATAGTCACATGACCTCCTAATGCCTGTACTCAATACACTGACCAATAAAGGCAAATGTATCCAACGTCGTCTTCACAACCCTGTCTGCCTGCAACTCCACTTTCAAGGAACTCCAAGGTCTCTTTGGTCGGCAACACTCTCCAGGACCTTACCATTAAGTGCATAAGTCTTGCCCTGATTTGCCCTACCAAATTTTGTAGCATCTCTCATTTATCCAAATTTAACACCATCTGCCCATCTGATCAAGGTCCCATTCTGCTCTAAGCTAACATTCTTCCCTGTCCACTACACTTATCTAAAAACACTTGAGCCAGGCAACATCTGTGTGGGAAGAACCTCCAGGTCTGTTGTCAACACACAGACACAGGTGCTCAAGTCAACTGTAATTCATTGTAGTTATTATAAAGATACTGAATTTCTTCTTGTAACGTCACACATGAAGAACAAACATCCTATGACTGTCACACTAAATGCTGGAATTTGGATTGTGATTATTTTGAAACTGTGCTATGGTTCTAGACAACAGCTGTTAAAAGAATAAAGACACCTTTGCAAAAAGCAGTGCACATGATTGATATTTAATATCTGGACAATACATCACAAGTAGATAAATATCTATTTCCACAGGCATGTCAGCCAATCTTTATCTCCCCTTGACAATGTATCTATAAGTCTGCAATTAAATTAATCAGTTGCACAAAGTTGGCTTTCTATCTTTAAAAAGGATATTACATGCCTCAGGAGATACAGCACAGAACCGGCCTTTCAACTCAGCCAGTCCCTGCCAGCAATTTTGCTCAATTTAAAAGATTCCTTCCCATCCTTCTTCATCTGAATCCATCATGGCTTTCCATTCCCTTCTGGCTCGTATGCCTATCCAACTTTCCCTTAGATGCACCTGTGCCATACCTTTTAATCAAACACTGAGACAGAGAGTTCCATATTCTCACCACTAAGTTGTTGAAAAGTTCCTTGTGAATTATCTAGTTGATTTCTTAGTGACTACCTTATATTGATGGCCTTTAGTTTTGCTCTTCCCAAATGGAGTCATTTTGCATCTATTTTATCAAAACTTTTTACAATTTTAAATAAAATCTCTATTATGTCACATCCCAAGACTTTTTCAGCCTTGCCTGAGTGATATACCTCTACATTTTTGATATCATCCTCAAATCTTTTTTCCACTCCCTCCAGTGACTTTGTAAACCTTTTACAAAATGGCAGGTTCAATATTAGTTTATCATAACTTCTTTACTTTTACGTTCTATCCTTCTAAAAAGAAAATGTGCTTGGCTTGCTCTTCTGTTGGACATTTAGTGACTTGTATATTTGTTCTTCGATTCTTTTGCCTGTCTATCCCATTCAAATTTTCTTCTAGTAAAGTCACCATAGTCCTAGAGGATCATGGGGCAATTTGATGGTGCTTAGATATTTTCTAATCAACTTGTTCAGAGATGTTATGACATACCTCTGGAGCAGGTGAAACTTGAACCCTGGCTCAGGGGTATGGACATTAATGCTGCACCACAACAGCCCTTTTAGTCACCATAGTCTTACCAGATCAAAGGGATGCTTGCTCATTAGAGAGAAACAAACTGCGGTTGTTTAACCTGAGGGTCACCATATCTCCAGAGAGGGGTGAGATCGAGAAGGTGTGACCTTTATGGTGACTCAGTTTGTGTGGGAATACTACCCATACTTTGATGTCACTCTGCTTTACAAAGCAGCCATCGACTCAACTGAACTAAATATGTGAATTCGTACAATAAAGGAATTACATTTATCTATGTTGAAATCAATTTACCAATCATTTCTACAAGTTTGAGAGTATCTTGAGTTGAAGTTCTCGTCAGTATTTGATTACACTCATCAAATCTATTATCAAATGCAATTCTGGAAATCAAATATCATCTAAATCCATTCTGCTCCTGGTCTTCCAACTCCATATTTTCTGTTCATTTTTATACAACCTGTTATTTAAAGGTGTTTTCAAAATCTACAAATTATATCTATTGCATCACTCTAGCTCTCAGTTACCTCTTCAGTCAAGACTGCCTTTTGAAATCAATGCAGGCCATTTTTTAATCTTCCAGATAGTTTTCGGTTTTTTCCTTTACTGGAAATTCCTACCACCAATGTTAATCTGACTGGACTAGAATTCAGCAGACATGTTCTGTCTTTTTTCTCAAATACAGGTCTCATATTATCTACACACAAGTCCTCTGGCATAACACATTTTACCAACAAATTATTAAAATTGTAGTGTTGCCTTTGTTATCTCTTTCTGATTCTTTTATAATGCAAGGATGTAAGCCGGACCAGGGGTTCTGTCTTACAATTTTGATCATTTAATATTTCATATCTATTTTAATTGCAGTTCTCTCATTTCTGTGAGGTTGTTGACCTGCTCGCTGAGCTAGCTTGTTCTCGTTCAGATGTTTCATCACCATGCTAGGTGACATCATCAGTGGAGCCTCCGATGAAGCGGTGTTCTTCTAGTCCGCTTGGAATTTATACTGTTTGGTCCGTTATGGTGAGTACTGTCATTTCCGCTTTTAATCTGAATGGGTTTGTATATGGGGTCCAATTCTATGTGTTTGTTGATTGCATTACGGGTGGAGAACCACGCCTCTAGGAATTCCAGTGCATGTTTAATTTAGGTTTGGGCTACTACGGTTACCCAGTCAAACTGATGGCCTTCATAGTCGGAGTGTACCAATATTAATGCCATTATGCCATTTTGCTGCTAGTTGATGTTCATGTATTCTGATGGCTAATTGCCTTGCTGTCTGTCCGATGCAATGTTTGTGGCAGTCGTTGCATGGTATTTTGTAAATCACATTGGTTCTGCATATTGTAGGAATGGGATCATAAATCCTTGTAAGTATTTGTCGTTGGTACACTCAGACAACGAAGGCCATCAGTTTGACTGAGACAAGGTAACCATTCTAGCCCAAGCCAAACATAGACACAAATGGGAATTCCTACAGGCATGGTTCTCCACCCATACTTAAAACAACCAACACAGAATTGGACCCCATATACAAACCCATACAGATTAAAACCAGAAATGACAGTACTCACCATAACAGACCAAACAGTATAAACTACAAGCAGAGTACAAGAACACCACTTCATCGGAGGCTCCACTAATGATGTCACCCTAGCATGGTGACGAAACGTCTAAACGAGAACAAGCCAACTCGGCGAGGAAGTCAACACCCTCGCCCACAACCCGAGCTACAGATCTTTGCCAAAACTTTGAATCTCATTTCTGTTCTCATTATCCAATTCCATGTTCACTTGTACTGTGTCTCTGATAAATGCTGATACAAAGCAATTAGTTAATATTTCTGCCATTTCTCTATTATTCATTGTCCTGATCAGTCTCCATGCCAAGTTGTGCCTGGCAAAAGAATGAAGCACAATATAACCCATCAAAATCAAGTGATAAAATTACCTGTTGGCTACTTCTTTCACAGAGCTGAACCGATGACAGAGATTTAAAGCTGTTACATAACTGATGTTAGGAATGCTGAGGTAGAACTGTAAAACTTGTTGCCAATGACCATGAACCTCCACTGGGACAGTAATAGCTGCATTCTTCCTTTCTTCAACGTGGGCAAGTTCAGCAATCAGACCAGCTGTTTCCTCCTGACTACAGCTGAACAAGATTTTGATTCCAGCAACAGTCAGAGATGTTAGCAACCCATCATAGTATCTGGTTCTCTGGAATATCCTAGCTATATCTCCTGTAGTTTATTGAAACAGAGAATTCAACACAGTTCACTTTTGGCTCAATGACAAATAATGTAATTCTTCAAATATTCTTTGTCAATCTTAAGAATAATTTTCTGTTTATTCATCTTTAATGTTGTGCAACTTCAATTAACCTTTTATGATAAAATAATGCAATGTGCATCAAAATATTACGACAGTCACATACCACATGTAATAAAATATCATTTAAGCACTTTAGAAAGAACACACCTTTCATCTTTAGCATTAATAGAAGACAACAGTGAGAAGGTAAGATCTGTGAATCAAAAACATTAATTGATTTTGTGCAGGCTCATGTTCTTGAGTTGTTATATGGTTACACCAACAAGACTCTACATCATAGGTTGGGAGGGAGGGAAAAGAATCATCAAAAGTCAGACTGATTAGTCATTTTTGCATCATACACTGTCCAAAGCCCAGGAAATGATGTAGAAATCTCAGCGGGTAAAACAGTTTGATTTGTCTAGCTACAGCTTTTAACAAAAAAGGGAGCATGTTTGTGACACTACCTCTGAGCAAGAAGATCTGGATTTAAGTTCCACCTGCTCCAGAGGTGTGTAATAATGTCTCTGAACAGGTTAATCAGGAAAATATCTATGGCTGATGTGGTTGGTTGGCTCACCGAGCTGGTTCGTTGTTCCACAGACGTTTCATTACCCTGCTGGGTAACGTCATCAGTGCAGACTCCGATGAATCACTGTTGTGTTTTCCTGCCTGTTATTTAAACTCTGGTGTCCGTTGTGCTGGATTACCTCACTTCCGGTTTTCCTTCGCAATGGAGTGTATATGGGGTCGAGTTCTACATGTTTATTGATGGCTTTCTTAGTGGAGAACCAGGTCTCTAGGAATTCGCATGCTTGTCTCTGCTTCGCCAGTCCGAGGATCCTGGTGTTGTCCCAATCGAATTGGTGGTTTTCCTTATCCATGTGGATGGAGATAAGGGAGTATTGGCCATGTCTTCTTGTTGCCAGTTGATGTTTGTGTACTCTTGTGGTTAATTTCCTTCCTGTCTGTCCAATGTAATATTTGTCACAGTCTTTGCAGGGAATCTTGTATGTGGCATTGGTCCTGTCCATGGTGGGTAGTGAGTCTTTGGTTCTGATTAGCAGGTGTCGTAGGGTTGATGTGGTTTGTGTGCTATTCTGATGCCCAGTGGTTGTAGGAGTTTTGTGGTCAGTTCAGATGTGCTCTTGATGTAACAATAGCGTGATGAGTGTGTCGGGGCGTGTGGTATCTTCCTGCTGTCATTCGTGTGATAGGCATCTTCTGACCCAGTTTTTCGGGTATTGTCTTTGAATACTTGGAAGAGGTACTCTTCTTCTTTTTGGCATAGTTCTGTGTTGCCGTAGTGTGTTGTTGCCTGTTTAACTAATGTTCTCACACAACTTTGTGTGTGTGTGTTAGGGTGGTTGCTGTTGAAAATCAGTACTTGGTTGATATGTGTGACTTTCCCGTGTACCTTTGTTAGGAATTCCCCATTGTTCCTGCGTTCCACCACGATGTCCAGGAATGGGAGCTGTTTGTTCTTTTCCTCTTCTCTGGTGAATCCGATCCCGGTGAGGGTGTTGTTCGTTAGTTAGTGTGTCTCCTCTAGTTTAGTCCGTTTAATATTGATGAAGGTGTCGTCCACGTAGCATATCCATAGTTTCGGTTGGATTAGTGGAAGGGCCATGTTTTCAAGTCTCTGCATCACCACTTCAGCTATTAGTCCGAAGATAGGTGATCCCATGGGTGTCCCGTTGATCTGTTCATATATTTGGCCATTAAAGATGAAGTGGGTGGGGAGGCATAGGTCCAGTAGCTTCAGCATGTTATCTGTGGTGTCACTCAGGTCTTGTTCTTGTTTTAGTAGTGTTGCCAGTGTTTCTCTTGCTAGTGGTATGGCTTATCGATGTGAATAGGGCAGTAACGTCAAATGATACCATGGTCTCGTCATCGGTCTATTCTTATACCCTTGATGGAATTGAGGAACTCTTGGGCTGAGTGGGTTGAGTGGGGTGACTTGCTGACGAGGCACTTTAGTCTGCTTTGTAACACCTTGGCTAATCTATGTGATGGTGTGCCTGGCAGGGAGACTATGGGTCTGAGGGGCACTTCTGGTTTGTGTACCTTCAGGAGGCCGTGGAACTGGGGGGTCTTAGTTCCATCAGGTTTCATTCTTAGATAGTCTGTTTTGTTGATTTGTCCGGTCTGTTTCAGTCTCTTTAGTGTGTTGAGAATTTTGTTGCCCAGTTGTGGTGTTGGGTCAAGTTGCACTTGCCGGTATGAGTTCTCGTCAGCTAGTAGAGTTTGTGCCGAGGAGAATTAGTCCCATTTTGTTTAGTATTACCGTCATGTGCCCTTTGTCTGCTGGTAGTATTGTGAGGTTTTTGTCCTTTTTCAGTTCTTCTAGGGCCTTCCTTTCTGAGGACATAAGCCAGGGTGCAGACGGGAAGGTAAGCTTTTCCCTATATAAAAAAAACTTACCTCATCTAGTGGCGGCCTTCTTGCTTTCAGCAGTAGGAGTGGCGAGGACGCAAGCCAGGAAGTGAACTAATATATTCGGGCATTGGCTGAACCCGAAACACTACACGTGTAGTGTCTCCCACCCATCCTCTTCCACTAGCCAGAAAAAACAGACTGTGTGGAGGGTCGGTAAGGTAAGGCTTTTTTTTTAATTCTTCTGGAAATCTAGAGTAGAGGGAATGGACACTAGGGCAGTTGCATGCTCCTCCTGCAGGACGTGGGAGATGAGGGTCACTGCTGGTGTTCCCTCTGACTTCACCTGCGAGCAGTGCACCCAACTCCAGCTCCTCGAAAACCGCATTAGGGAGCTGGAGCTGGATGAACTCCGGATCATTTGGGAGGCTGAGGGGGTGATAGAGAGGAGTTATAAGGAGATGGTCACACCAAAGGTACAGGAAAAAGGTAGCGGGGTGACAGTCAGGAGGGGGAAAGGGAATAGGCAGACAGTGCAGAGATTCCCTGTGGCCATTCCCCTCAATGATAAGTATACCGTTTTGGATACTGTTGGGGGGTGGGGGAAGGCCATAGCAGACAGGTCTTTGGCACTGAGCCTGGCCCTGTGGCACAGAAGGGAAGGGCGGAGAATAGAACAGCAATTGTAGTGGGGGATTCAATAGTAAAGAGGCACAGACAGGCGGTTTTGTTGATGCAAATGGAAAGTACATTGCCTCCCGGGTGCCAGGGTCCATGACGTCTCGGATCGTGTCTTCAAGATCCTTAAGGGGGAGGGTGAGCAACCAGCAGTCATGGTACACATCGGATCCAATGACATAGGTAGAAAAAAGGACTGAGAATGTGAAAAACGAGTACAGGGAGTTAGGTTGGAAGCTGAAGTCCAGGGTAGTTATCTCTGGATTACTACCAGTGCCACGTGATAATGAGGTAAGAAATAGGGAGAGAGTGCAGTTAAACATGTGGCTACAGGGCTGGTGTAGGAGGGAGGGCTTCCATTATGTGCATAATTGGAGCACATTCTGGGGAAGATGGGACCTGTACAGGAAGGGCAGGTTGCACCTGAACCGAAGGGCACAAATATCCTGGGAGGGAGGTTTGCTTGAGCTATATGGGATGGTATAAACTAGAGTGGCAGGGGGTGGGGAACCGGATTTGTAATTCAGAGGATGAGGTGTTCAGCCTTCCAACAGACACAACAGGGAGTGAGGGTGTTAATGAAGAAATGCGGTCGATGGAGCATAATTGTGGACACCGGGATGGTTTGAAGTGCGTATACTTCAATGCTAGAAGTATCAGAAATAAGGCAGATGAACTTAGAGCGTGGGTCAGTACTTGGAACTACGATGTTGTGGCTATTACAGAAACTTGGGTAACTCAGGAAGAGGAATGGTTGTTGGAATTCCGGGATTCAGATGCTTTAAAAGAAATAGGGAGGGTGGTAAAAGAGGCGGCGGAGTGGCATTGTTAGTCAGGGCTAGTATAGCAGCTACTGAAAGGCAGTTCCAGAATGATACATGTCTACAGAGTCAGTTTGGGTTGAGGTCCGGAACAAGAAAGGAGCAGTCACTTCGTTGGGGTTTTTTCACAGACCCCCTAATAGTTGCAGAGAAGTGGAGGAGCAGATCGGGAGGCAGATACTGGAAAGGTGCGGAAGTCACAGGGTTGTAGTCATGGGTGATTTCAACTTTCCAAATATTGATTGGAAACATTTTAGTTGTATTAGTTTAGATGGAGTGGATTTTATCCAGTGCATTCACGAAGGATTCCTGACACAGTATGTAGCTAGACCAACACGAGGAGAGGCCACTTTGGATTTGGTGCTTGGCAATGAACCGGGCCAAGTGTTACACCTGTTGGTAGGACAGCATTTTGGCAGTAGTGATCATAACTCTGTTACTTTTGTTACCATAGTCATGGAAAAGGATAGGTACATACAGCAGGGCAAGGTTTATAATTGGGGGAAGGATAATTATAATTCTGTTCGGCAAGAACTAGGTAACATAAAACGGGAACAGATGCTGTCAGGGAACAGCAGTCTAGAAATGTGGAGATTGTTTAAGAAATGCATACTGTGTGTGATCGATATTTTGTCCCTAGCAAGCAGGGAAGATGCGGTTGAGCGAGGGAGCCTTGGTTCTCGAGAGAGGTCGAACAACTAGTTAAGAAGAAGAAGGATGCTTATATAAGGTTTAGGAAACAAGGATCGGAAAAGGCTCTAGAGGGATACAAGTTAGCCAGGAAAGAGCTGAAGAAAGAGCTTAGGAGAGCTATAAGGGGGCATGAGAAAACCCTGGCAGATAGGATCAAGGAAAACTCCAAGGCTTTTTACACATACGTGAGGAATAAGACAATGATCAGAGAAAGGGTAGAGCCGATCAAGGACTGTAAAGGGAATTTGTGCACGGAGCCTAAAGAGATAGGAGAGGTCCGTAACAAATATGTTTCTTCGGTATTCACAACTGAGAGGGACTTAGTTGTAGGGGAGGACCGTGTGAAACAGGCTGGTAGGCTAGAGGAGGTGGATGTTAGTAAGGAAGATACACCAGAAATTTTGAGGAACTTGAAGATAGATAAATCCCCCGGGCCTGATGCAATTTATCCAAGGATTCTATGAGAAGTAAGGGAAGAGATCACAGGGCCTTTGGCGATGATCTTTTCGTCCTCACTGTCCACGGGTATAGTGCCGGAAGATTGGAGAGTGGCAAACGTCATTCCGTTGATCAAAAAAGGGAATAGGGATAACCCTGGAAATTACAGGCCAGTTAGTCTTACTTCAGGGGTGGCAAATTGTTGGAAAGGGCTCTGAGAGATAGGATTTATGATCACTTGGATAGACACAGTTTGATTCGCGATAGTCAACATGGATTTGTGAGGCGTAGATCATGCCTCACAAACCTTATTGAATTCTTTGAAGAGGTGACCAAACACGTGGATGAAGGTAGAGCAGTGGATGTGGTATACATGGATTTAAGTAAGGCGTTTGATAAGGTTCCCCATTGTAGGCTCACACAGAAGGTAAGGAGGCATGGGATAGGGGGAAATGTGGCAGATTGGATTCAGAATTGGCTTACCTTTAGAAGACAAAGGGTAGTGGACGGAAAATATTCAACATGGTGCTCAGTTACGAGTGGTGTACCACAAGGATCTATTCTGGGTCCTCTTCTATTTGTGATTTTTATAAATGATTTGGATGAAGGAGTGGAAGGGTGGATTAGTAAGTTCGCGGACAATACGAAGGTGGGTCGAGTTGTGGATAGTGCGGAGTGTGGAGTTTAACCCTGAAAACTGTGAGGTGATTCATTTTGGAAGGACAAACTTGAAAGCAGAATACAGGGTTAACGGAAAGATTCTTGGCAGTGTTGAGGAGCAGAGGGATCTTGGGGTTCATGTTCACAGTTCCTTGAAAGCTGCCACCCAGGTGGATAGATTTGTTAAGGCGGCGTATGGTGTGTTGGCTTTCATTAATAGAGGGATTGAGTTCAAGAGCCGTGAAGTTAAGCTCCAGCTATACAAAAGCCTGGTTCAGCCACATCTGGAGTATTTGCCTCGTTCTGGTCGCCTCATTACAGGAAAGATGTGGAAGCATTGGAAAAAGGTGCAGAGGAGATTTACCAGGATGTTGCCTGGAATGGAGGGAAGGTCTTACGTGGAAAGGTTGAGACAGCAAGGGCTTTTCTCTTTAGAACGACGAAGGATGAGAGGTGACTTCATAGAGGTGTACAAAATGATTTGAGGTATAGATAGAGCGGACAGCCAGAGACGCTTTCTTAGGGTGGAGGTAGCTATTACGAGGGGGCATTATTATAAAGTGAGTGGAGGTAGATACAGGGGACACATCAGAGGCAGGTTCTTTACTCAGAGAGTGGTAGGGGCGTGGAATGCATTGCCAGAGAGGGTAGTGGGCATTTAAGCGGCTATTAGATAGGCATATGGATGATAGTATAAGGTAGGGATGGAGGTTGGATAGACCTTAGGTTTAGGGTAAAAGTTCAGCACAACATCATGGGCCGAAGGGCCTGTACTGTGCTGTACTGTTCTATGTTCTGTGATGAGGGTGTTAAATTCGCTTTTTCTGGTCAGTGTCGGAATCACTGTCTGCCTTATGGCTTGTTGTGTTTCTACAGCATTTAACAATCCATTCATACTTTCTCTCTACTGAAAGATACTTTAACAGCCAATTTCTATTATACTTTTAAACAGCAGATTTATGAAATGAGTGCCAAAAATCTGCCACTTTCTCAAAGTGACAGTTGGCATGTTGCAGTGTGTTTTTTGGAAAAAGGTGTTAGGGTAACAAAATTGGATTCATGTCTTAAATACATTAATCCAACAGAAAATGTTGAAATATTTCTATCATTTGGCAACAGTAATTTACAATTTTTGAACGAGGGTGATAAAATACTCATGAGAAAGGTCAAGAGGCATTTGGGAATTGGACACAAACAATTCATATGAGCTACCCACCTGGCTTTGTTCCATCTTTCTCCACAATGATACACACACGTTCAAACGTGGCCTGAAGATGCTGAATCCGGTCTACAAGCTTACTTCGATTTACGCTATTAGCAAACTCCGATAAGGATTTCCTCTCTACTGCCATCCGGTTGCTCACTATATAATCACATCCACCGAGACTACAAATCTCAACCTTTATGCCGTGTTTAACGCGTAAACAGGAGACCAGGTTTGGCCCAGAGGAGATTTCGCGACTGTCCACAAGAACCTTCAGTGGAACTGTTCCATGACATACAGCCTGTTGATTGCTGACCAGAATGTCTTTACATGGATTTTCACTTGATCTTGAAAATGTGGCAGCTTCAATCTGTAATCAGAAATGAGTCTATTTACAGCATTAATATTATCAATGTATTTAAACAGAAAGAATATTTCTTCTGGCTGGGTTGTCTAGTACAGGTGATTTAATCCCAGGAAAATTTAGTACTGAAACAAGGAGGAAATTTTTCACTTGGAGGGTGGTGAATCTTTACAAGTCTACATTCCAGAAGACTGTAGATGCTCTATTACATTCAAGACGGAAATTGATAGATTTCTAAAAACAAGGGATATGCAGATAACACAGGAAATTGGTGTCGCAGTAGATGATCAAACATGATCTAGAATGGCAGAACAAAGCCCTAAACAGAGTACAGTAGATACTATAATGAATCAAATCAAATCCTAGCATGATACATCATTTAAAACAAAAACCAAGGTGATGGCATTTACTAAATGTTACAATCCATTTCATATGTTAAGCATCAAGCAATCAAAATGGTTCATAACTCAAACTAAAACTTTCGCTGTAGAAGATGCAAAATATTCGTCCTGCAATTAGGTTTTTTTTAAAAACTGAACCAAGAAACCTCAAAATATTTGTTTCTGTTGAGAATCTGAATACAATAGGGCAACAGAAATGGCTATCCAAATTATATTACTATGTCAAGTGATAATACTTCTTCAGTTTATTCCCTAGGTAGTCCCTCAGAATCAAGACGGCCTTGCTTCTACTCTGGTTTGATGGGTTCTGAAATGGCTGTTATGTCCAATGAGTGATCTGCAGACTCTATCACATAGCGAGGCAGGTGACACTGCAAGGGTCAGGAACAGGTGGTATTTGGAGTTTTCTGTGCTCCCTCCAAAACATCAACATTGCTTCTATATGCTAAGTCTTTTGATGAGTTCAGGAGCATTGTTGAATGAACCTTCACTTTGGTCAGTCACCAGCCAGGCCAGGCATGATGATGGTTTCATCTTTTCAGGAATGCTTTGAAACACCTCTAAAGCATTTCTCCTGTTTTCCTGGGCATTTCCTGGTAAAACAAATGTCAGAACAGAACAACTACTTTGTAAGATTCATGCCAGGCCAAAAAAAAAGTCCCACCTAAGAGAACTGATGTTGAATTCTACAACCTCGATGTTGGGCAAGGACAATGCTCGTGGACTTCTTTTCTTGCCAACTGATTTGGAGGATCTGGTGAAGGCACCACTGATGGTACTTCCCCAGTGCCTACTGGTGCCTGCTCGGTAGTTCAAATCTCCGAAGCATATATAGGAAGTTGAAAATCTGTAGTACCCAGTAAACCAAGACTTTACTTTCAAGTTTCGGTTTTTGATTCTCCAATACTCTTTTCCTCAGCTGGCACCTTGGAGGCAAAGAAGAATTTTTGCCATCTATACCTGCCTTAATGGAGAGAAAGCTCTCACGATTTGGAAAATGGACAGGTCAAGGGGGCGGGATGAGGTTGGTCGGTTTGAGGTGGGAGGAGGGGATAGGTGGGAGGAAGAACAGGTTAGGGAGGCAGGGACGAGCTGGACTGGTTTTGGGATGCGGTGGGGGGAGGGGAGATTTTGAAACTTGTGAAATCCACATTGATACCATTCGGCTGCAGGGTTCCCAAGCGGAATATGAGTTGCTGTTCACCTGCACATCTGCCAATGTGGTATACTGCATCCGCTGTACCCGGTGTGGCTTCCTCTACATCGGGGAAACCAAGCGGAGACTCGGGGACCGCTTTGCAGAACACCTACGCTCGGTTCGCAACAAACAACTGCACCTCCCAGTCGCGAACCATTTCAACTCCCCCTCCCATTCCTCAGACGACATGTCCATCCTGGGCCTCCTGCAGTGCCACAACGATGCCACCCGAAGGTTGCAGGAACAGCAACTCATATTCCGCTTGGGAACCCTGCAGCCCAATGGTATCAATGTGGATTTCACAAGTTTCAAAATCTCCCCTCCCCCCACCGCATCCCAAAACCAGTCCAGCTCGTCCCTGCCTCCCTAACCTGTTCTTCCTCCCACCTATCCCCTCCTCCCACCTCAAGCCGCACCTCCATCTCCTACCGACCAACCTCATCCCGCCCCCTTGACCTGTCCGTCCTCCCTGGACTGACCTATCCCCTTCCTAACTCCCTACCTACACTCACCTTTCCTGGCTCCATCCCCGCCTCTTCGACCAGTTTGTTTCCTCTCCACCTATCCTCTCCTCTATCCCTCTTCTATCCGCCTCCCACTCTCTCCCTATTTATTTCAAAACCCCCTTCCCCTCCCCCTTTTCTGATGAAGGGTCTAGGCCCGAAACGTCAGCCTCTCTGCTCCTATGATGCTGCTTGGCCTGCTGTGTTCATCCAGCCCTGCACCTTGTTGTCTCGGATTCTCCAGCATCTGCAGTTCCTACTATCCCAAATAGAAAACTACAGTCAGTTCTGCTATAATGCAATAGAAACGCTTTATAGAAAATTGCGCTATAGAAATAATGGGGTTTATAGAAAAAGCGGACAGACCACCAAAAACAAAATCACTCAAAAATCACTGAAAAGACTAACAAAAAAGGTAGCACAATTTGAATAAATGTTTAATTCATATCTAATAATGAAATAAAAGTAAATTTAACAATTTACCTTGAAAAACGTCAAGATGACTTGATGGGGGAAGGGGGTTGGACTGTACTCTCACAGAAAAAAACTTCACAACAAGGCAGCAAAATGATTACATGATGCTGGCATGGAGACTCTTTCGGCACTAACATTGTACATATTCACAACAAAGCCTGTGAAACGATCATGTGAGGTCAACGTGTACTCCTCCATGCACCGATGGAATTGCATTATAGCCAACACAAGTTCACGTTTCAGAAATGGCGTTCCCCATTCATCAATTGTGTTACAGCCAATGTGCGTTGACAGAACACGCGTTATAGCGGAATCGACTGTTAGTTATAACCATTACCACTTTTATCTGAGCGAACTATAAAGGTGACTCTAATAAACACCTTCAGAAAATCAACCAAGGCGCCATTATCTGTACTTTGTGAAATAATGCATCATAAAAACAAGTCATTTGGCCAGTTCTGTTATTTTCTTTTATTAACCCTCAACTGTGTGTGTTTGTTGTCGGTCTTTTGTGTAAATAGGGTTGACAACTAAGGTTTTTGGGTTTAAAGCATAGACCAATTAATTTTTTGCATTTAAGTTTACTTTGCTAAAGTTACTATACTGTTAATAAATGGCTAACTCTTTCTTTAAGATACAAACCAGTGTCTGGAATTGATTATTCATAGAGTCTAGGATTAGTTACTCAAAAGTCTGGTAAGGACCCACCGGGATCAATTTTGAGGGTTTTTTGAATTTTATTTTACAGTGTTCTAAATACAGATGTAGAAGGACTGATTTAGTTTGGCTATCTGTCTCCACGTTGTAACAACCCATGTACTTTTTCTTTAAAGTTTTTGTATTACTAAAGTATCACAGCTGCTTTTCACCAGAAATAAAACCACCCGTATAATTATAAGAATGACATGGAGGATAGCAAAACCCAGACAACTCTTAAGATTACAAAACGTCAAACTGCAAGCAAGTATAACGGTTTGAAAATCAATGGAATCTCAACTCCACAAAGTATCAAAGCTCAAAACACATCACAATAGTCTCCGAAAAATTCAGACTTTTTTTTTTTGATAGACTTAGCTTTGTCCCTTTTGTACACTAGAGATGCATAATAATTATTCCTGCGTCCTTAGAAAAGGTTTTAAATCAGATGTGTTATTGAAATTTACCTTACTCACTGACATACAATTATTGTCAATATATCAGACACTAAACTGCAATACATTTAAATCAGTCGATACTTACAGAGTTAATGGAATGAAGTCTGCTCACATGGCATTTATCTTGTCCTTTGTGTTGCATCGAGTTCAATGTAAAATCTGAGGCAGTAGTTGAACTACACCTTCTTGAATGTTTTTGCTCTATTTGAAAGTCTAATGCTTCAGATACCGAAGCCTGGAGATTCAAGCGCGTGGCATGACATCTATTCCCTGAGCAAGGATCTGAAGGTTTACCCCCATCAACACATGCTGGTTGTTGTACAGTCATTTTTAACGAACACTCCCTAAAACAGTCGCCTATTAAGATCGGGTTTGGATAACATGACGTATTTTGTTCTTCTACAGTTTGTTTACTTTTGTTGTTTTGTACTAAATTTTCTCTTGGCAATTTATGGTTTACGTTCACATCTTGTTCATCTTCACTGGAATCATTCAACAAAATTATCCGGCTGCCTTTCCTCTTTCTGGTCAAGGCACCTTTACTACTTTCTATTTCAACAATTTTTGTTCTTGTTCTGCTCCGAGTTGCATATGGTTTGTTTTTTCCAATGGGAGTATCATTCAAGAGATCAAAATTCACAATTTCATCACCACTTAATTCAGTTTGATTATCTGCTTCACCTTCCTCATGAACACAAAAGCTGTCTTCTATGTAGGTCTCATCCTGTTCAGGAATCTATCAAGAAGGAATGCTCAATATTATCAAACATCACCACAGATATAAAACAAACATCACAATTTACTTCAACTAACACATGTGCCCTCCCACTCCTAAGCAGGAGCTAGTTTAAACACACATGGCCACGTTATCTATCCTGTCCACCAATAGCTTTTCAAACTTAACTTTTGGTGGAATCTGTATGAGCCAAAGAAGCATCCCACTGTTTAATGAACCAAATTCCTGGTTCTCTAGCCAAATTTTTAACCACAAATTACTCTACCAATTTCCCGGTGTCTTTCTTCGGGAACATGTGGCATTGGTGGCGTTCAGAAAAATCAAACCACAGAGGTCTTTCTGTCAAGATTCCTTCCTATTACTCTTGGCATAAAGGGTGTCTAGTCCACATCTATCAACACTATTTTTCCTCGCATGAATGATAAGAAATTATTACTCCTCTACTCTCTTTTAGCATTCAAAACCACGTCAGAACTTGGACCAGCACACATAAAAGTAATCCTCGGTCCACAGAGACTGCCTAAGAGAAATCATCCAGAAGGGAGTATACTTGGGTCTGGTTTGCAGATAATTCTACTTGTAAATCAAGTAGTTGAACAAGACAATATCCCCTAATAAAAACCGAAGGAACTGTGGATGCTGTAAATCTGGAACAAAAACAAAGTTGCTGGAAAAGCTCAGGAGGTCTGGCAGCATCTGTGATGAAAAAAAAAATCAGAGTTCACGCTTTGGGTCTGGTGAGTTCTGAGGAAGGGTCGCTGGACCCAAAACGACAACTGACTTTTTCTTCACAGATGCTGCCAGACCTCTCGAGCTTTTCCAGCAACTTTTTGTTCCAAGACAATATCCTTAGTTGACTCCAGTCCTCTGTTTTTCATGCTGCCTCATAGTGTGACATATATTTGCCCATCTTTGCAGCTGTTGAATCTCTCAATTATCTCTGTGGGAGGAAAACGCATTAAAGAGCATCAAAGATGACTTACAACTGTCCCATTATTCAGCCCCAACTTCCAGCCCTCTTTCTAACAGTAGTCCACCAAAGCTATAAGAATTGCTTCTTGTACTCGACTTCCCAGCGATCTTCTGTAATGCCTTGTCTGTATAAAAAAAAACTCACCCCCTGTCAGGGTATGCTAACACCACTTAGAAAGGATGCAGTTTTCTTTCAGTTCCCAAAGACATAAAAAGGTTATATATATTCATTTTAGTACGCCCGAGGAGGATTAAGAAAAGCAAAGTTTAAAACAGTTTGTCAATATTGCATGTTTACTGAAACAGTTACACACGCTTACAATCTACTTGACCATTAGCGTGAATAACCCAAAGGCCTTGGGTAAAACAATGAAGTGAGAAAGACATTTTGTAGCATTTCTAATATAGCATGATGTCCATAAAGTTCCTGTAAATCTGCATAAAGTAAAATTTCAAACCAGCAATTTTCTCTCTAACCAGATGAGAAACAATATCTGATTTAACAAAATCCAAACAAATAGATCTTACCTGTGAAAATATGGTCATTTCATTTTTACTGAAGACCATCTTTTTCTTACTGTAGATATTAGGACTACGTACAGACTTCAGGTAAATTTCTTGCATGTCACCATCTGCAAATAAATTACAAAGAGATCATTAGATTTTAGCATAATAAAGGACATAATGGCCTTCAGATAAGTGCCGACTTCTAAAATTATTCTAACATTTTAACGAGCTGTACAGATCGGAAAATTCAAATGTTATGAATGTCAAAGCAAGGACGCAAATTACCAAAAAAACATACTGGAAGATCAGTTTCCTCCGAGTGAATCTCGTGCTAATTTGATTAGTAGCTGATTTTGCCCATCAGACATCAGATCTGTCAGTCCCCATGTCAATCTGGATCCAGTTAGATTGTGAATAATGTTATCACAAAACCAAATACAAAGAAAGGAGAGATTTCACAATGGAATTTAAATGCGAATACTTTGTTCCAAAATTAAATAACCCATGAACAAAATCATTTCTCAGAAATAGCATTACAAATGTGAATTCTTCAATTTTGCCAATGGTTTAAAGTCAGATCAAAACAAGTCAGCTTCCTGTTCTCTGCCAATAGTTTGGACTGCCATTAAACTTTACAATGCATGTTAATTAATGTTGTCAGGTGGTTCCAAAGAATATGACCATCACTGTAATAGAACATTTAATCAAATCTTTTTCAAAGTCTTCAATCCTTCCCATTAAAACAGTTTAGAAAAGAATCGTGAAAAATACAGCGCAGGTATCAGTAATTTGTTCCATCAAGTCTGCACTGATCAACAAAATACTGCATGCTCTTATACAGAGGCATACAAACAAGGAGCAAGAAGGGATCAATCACCCTTTGAGCCAGCTGTCCCATTTAATAAGATCATGGACTGCTCTGATTGTAACTTCAAATTCCCCACATTTCAGCCAATAACATTAATCCAATAACATTCACTCTTTGATTATCAAGAATATATCGACCTCGTCCTTAAAAACATTCAAAGACTCTGTTTTTCCAGAAAGGGTTCCAAACATTCGCAATTCCGAGAGAAAGGTATTTTGCATCATCTTTGTTTTAAATTGATGATCCTTTATTTTAACAAGGAAGGAAACATCCTCCCTACATCCAACCCATCAAGACAGCTCTAGATCTAATGTTTCAATAACATATCCTTTTCTTCTAAATTCAGCTAATACAACCCTAGCTTATCCAATCACAGCTTGTGCATTTCCTTGCCTATTCTAGATATTAATCTAGTAAACCTTCTCTGAAGCTTCAAACTCATTCATATCCTTCCTTAAATACTGCTCACAGCTTTCTAGGCCTCACAGTGCCCTTTATAACTGAAGTATAACTTAGTATTCAAATCACCTCACTATAAACCTATTCACATTATCCATTCTGCATTCATGCCCTCCTAATTGCCCTTATTTAAAATTTAAAATAAATAGTCTCAGACCAACTTCTCTTTCCCTCAAACAGGATACAAAATTCAATCATAGTACATTCGCTGTCACCTAAGTGTGTCTTCATTATGAGATCATTCATTAATGCCTACCTCATTGCACAACATCAGGCCTAGTGGAGTCTGCTCTCGGGTCAGCACCAGAATGTGGTGTGCTAAGAAACTATTCCAAAAACTTATAAATTCCTCATCAATATTACCTTTGGTATTCTGACATTTCTAGTCTATATGCAGATTAAAAGCTCACTAAAAATAATAACACTATTAGCTTTCCTAATAACTTGCTGTACCCTCATATTAACTTCTGCAATTCCTGCACCCAAGACACTCGGATCGTTCTGCACCCTGGAGCTTTGCAATTCCTCATCATTTCAATAGTATTTTTAATTTTCCAAAAATAATTTCACATTTTCCCACATTATAGTTCATTTGTCAAATCTTTCGACAAATTTAATCAATCTATATCTTTTTGTATGCCTCCAATGTCCTCTTCACAATGTACCTTCTTACTGACCATTGCATCTTAGCAAATTTGGTGCCATACCTTCCATCCAATCTTCTAGGTCATTCATAAATCTTTAACTAGTTGAAGTCCCAGCACCTGACACAGTAGCACATCATTCATTACATTTTGCCAAACTGCAAAAGATCCATTTATGCCTTTTCTGTTTCCTCTGCAGCCATTCTTCTATCAATCCCAATTTGTAGCCTTCTTCACCCACTTACTTTCTACAATAATCTTTGCTGAGGCACTTCATCAAATGCCTTCTGGAAATTTAAGCACATCCACTGATTCCTGCCGGTTAGCCTTTATTCATAAAGCAACTCCTCTAGACCAGGTAAAATCATAGTGAACTTTCTCTGAACTGCCTCCGATGAAATGATATCTTTCTTTAAATAAGGGGGCCAAAAGTGCTCTCAGTACTCCGGATATAGTCTCACCAGCACAGTTGCAGTAAGACTTCCCTACTCCTGGATTCCAACCCTCTTGGAGGACCAACATTCCACTAGCCTAAATGATTATCTGCTGCATCTGTGTGCTAGCTTTCTGTATTTAGTGCACAAATACCCCAAAGTCCCTTTGTGTTGCAGATTTCTGCAATTTTTCTCCATTTAAATAATATTGTTCTTTTGTTCTCCCTTCCAAGATGAAGGACTTTACTTTTTCCCCACATTATATGCCAAACACTCTCGTAACTTACTTTTCCACCTATTTTTGTGTCATCTGCAAATTTGGCTACAGTACATTTACTTCCTTTCTCCAAGTCATTAATATATGTGTACATTTAATATATATTGTAAACAGTTGCAGTCCCAACATTGCTTGACACCATCGAAGACAAAGCAAGCTACTTGATTGGCACATCGACAAACATCCACTCCCTCTAACACTGTGAACTATCTACGAGATGCACTGCAAAAATTCACCAAAAATTGTTAGATAGCGCCTTACAAATCCAGAAAGACAAGGAGCAGCAGATACCTAGGAACAGTACCACTTGCAAATTCTCCTCCAAGCCACTCACCATCCTGACTTGAAAATATATCAGCATCACTTCCAGGTCACTGGGATGAAACCCTAGAATTCCCTCCCTAACAGTATTTGAGTCTACCTGTAGCACTTGCATCACAAGAAAGCAACTCACCACCACCTAGGGATAAGCACTAAATATACTAGCCGGCCAGTGATGCCCACATCCCACTAGTGAATTCAAAAAGAAAATCAATGCTTGGACCAGGGCTATTCACAATATAAATTAATTATTTAGAAGATGGAACTAAATGTAGTACCTCTAAGTTTGCAGATGACACAAATTGGGCGAGGGGGTGAACTGTGAGGAGGATGCAACGATGCTTCAGAGTGGTTTGGACAAGTTGAGGGAGTGGGCGAGTACATGGCAGTTGAGGTATAAATTTTTAAAAAATTCATTCACAGGACGTGAGCATCGCTGGATAGGCCAGTATTTATTTCCTGTCCCTTTTTGTGAAAAGAAGCCAACCACATTGCTGTGTGCCTGGACTCATACGTGGGCCAGACCAGGTAAGGATGGCAGATTTCCTTCCCTAAAAGGACACGAGTGAACCAGATAGTTTTTCCTTGCAATTGATAATGGTATTATGGTCAGCATTAGGTTCTTAATTCCACATTTTTTGGTTGAATTCAAATTCTACTATCTTCCATGGCAGGTTTTGAATCCAGGTCCCATCATCATTGCCTGCGTTTCTGGATTAATAGCCTAGCGACAATGCCATTAGGCCATCACTTCCCCTAAAGTGAAGGATACAAGCAAGAGAGAGTGAGAAAACATAATGTAGACAAACGTGAGGTTATCCATACTGGCAACAAAAATAGGAAAGTAGATTATTATCTGAATAGCAATAAATTGGGAAGGAGGAGTTACAATGAGACATGGGTGTCCATTTACCCCAGTCACCGAAAGTAAGCATGCAGATGCAGCAGACAGTGAAAAAAAGCAAATGGAAAGTTGGCCTTCAAAAAGAGGGGACTGGAGTATAGGGGCACAGATGTCTTGCTGCAACTGTCCAAGTCTTGGACAGAAAACATCTGGAATACTGTGCACAGTGTTGGTCTCTATTTGTGGAAAATATGTTCTGGCTATTGAGGGACAGCAACAAAAGTCTACCTGACTGATTTCTGAAGGCAGCCTGGATCAGTTAGGACCAGTCCTGAGGAAGGGTGACCAGACCCAAAACGCTAACTGATTTTTTTCTTCACAGATGCTGCCAGACCTGCTGAGGTTTTCTAGCAATTTCTGTTTTTGTTCAGTTAGGACTATAGTCACTGGAGTTTAGAAAAATGAAGGGAATCTCAGAAACCTATAAAAGTCTATCTGGACTAGACACGGTAAACACGGAAAGATGTTGCCGATGACCAGGGAGTCAAGAATCATGGGTCAGTCTAAGGATACATGGTAGGCCAGTTAGACTGAGATGAGAAGTGTCCCAGAAAGTGGTGAGCCTTTGGAAGTCTCTGCAACAGAAAACGATTAAAGGCCAAAACATTGAATTATTTCAACAAGATTCTTAGGGCTAAAGGGATGAAAGCGTGTGGGGAGAAAGTGGAAACAGGACATTGAGTTGGATGATCAGCCTTGCTCATATTGAATGGTGGAGCAGGCTCAAGGGGTCGAATGGACTACTCCTGCTCCTATTTTCTGTGTTTCTGTGTCTCTAGGTGACTTCTTGCCTTCATCATTTCTCATCTCTACCCAAACTGTTTTTATATCTTGGTTTCCTGAACTTAGATCGTGCCTTTTTATTGTACTAATACCATCATTCAATAACATAAGAACATAAAAACATAAGAACTAGGCGCAGGAGTAGGCCATCCAACCCCTCGAGCCTGCCCCGCCACTTAAGATCATGGCTGATCTTTTTGAGACTCAGCTCCACTTACTCGCCCGCACACCATAACCCTTAATTCCTTTACTGTTCAAAAATTTATCCAGCCTTGCCTTAAAAACATTCAGCGAGGTAGCTTCAACCGCTTCACTGGGCAGGGAATTCCACAGATTCACAACCCTTTGGGTGAAGAAGTTCCTCCTGACCTCAGTCCTACATCTGCTTCCCTTTGTTTTGAGGCTATGCCCCCTAGTCCTAGTTTCACCTGCTAGCGGAAACAACCTCCCTGCCTCCACCTTATCTATTCCCTTCATAATCTTATATGTTTCTATAAGATCTCCCCTCATTCTTCTGAATTCCAATGAGTATAATCCCAGCCTACTCAGTCTCTCCTCATAATCCAACCCTCTCAACTCTGGAATCAACCGAGTGAATCTCCTCTGCACCCCCTCCAGTGCAAGTATATCCCTTCTCAAGTGAGGAGGCCAAAACTGCACACAGTACTCCAGGTTTGGCCTCACCAGGACCCTATACAGCTGCAGCATAGCCTCCCTGTTTTTAAACTCTGTCCCTCGAGCAATGACAGACAAAATTCCATTTGCCTTTTTAATTACCTGCTGCACCTGCAATCCTAATTTTAGCGATTCATGCACAAGGACACCCAAGTCCCTCTGCACAGAAGCGTGCTGCAATTTTTTACCAATTAAATGGTAATAGAGCACTCCTCCCCACTTCTCCTGGTTTTTTTGTCCTTCCTAAATACCATTCAAGATTCAGGTTCCAATCCATGTCACCTTGCACCTGGCTACCAGCTTGTATGCATTTATTTCCATTAGTGCTCTCAGTTCGTCTTTTTATTTTGAATGTTAGTTGCGTTCAGATACAGATCCCGAGTTTTAACCCTTTATTCCTTTTATAGCTTTCCGTTAGCCCACTCTTAAATTTCTACCCTTCCTGTCATGATTTATTAATCACTTCCCAAATTAATTTTTTTTTGTCTTGGCTCTATTCTCCAATTTACCACATCTTCCTAAATTTGATCCCTAATATTTAGTTTAAAATCCTGTCTACTCTCTAGTTATGCAGCTTGCAAGAACGCTGGCCCCAGCATGGTTCAGGTGGTAACCATCCTGTTGTATAGATTCCATTTTCACCAGTTTTGGTGCCAGCGCTCTATCAACTGAAACCAGTTCAAATAGTCATTGAGCCATGAGTTCATCTCTCTAATTTCACTTTTCCTATGCCAATTTTCACATAGTTCATCAATCCACAGATTATGACCTTTGAAGTTCTAGAACATAGAACATAGAACATTACAGCGCAGTACAGGCCCTTCGGCCCTCGATGTTGCGCCGACCTGTGAAACCAATCTGAAGCCCATCTAACCTAAACTATTCCATTATCATCCATATGTTTATCCAATGACCATTTAAATGCCCTTTTGGGCGAGTCTACTATTTTTGCAGGCAGGGCATTCCACGCCCATACTACTCTCTGAGTAAAGAACCTACCTCTGACATCTGTCCTATATCTATCACCCCTCAATTTAAAGCTATGTCCCCTCGTGCTAGCCATCACCATCCGAGGAAAAAGGCTCCCACTGTCCACCCTATCTAATCCTCTGATCATCTTGTATGTCTCTATCAAGTCACCTCTTAACCTTCTTCTCTCTAACGAAAACAGCCTCAAAACCCTCAGCCTTTCCTCATAAGACCTTCCCTCCATACCAGGCAACATCCTGGTAAATCTCCTCTGCACCCTTTCCAATGCTTCCACATCCTTCCTATAATGCGGTGACCAGAACTGTACGCAATACCCCAAGTGCGGCCGCACCAGAGTTTTGTGCAGCTGCAACATGACCTCATGGCTCCGAAACTCAATCCCTCTACCAATAAAACCTAACATACTGTACGCCTTCTTAACAACGCTATCAACCTGGGTGGCAACTTTCAGTGATCTATGCACATGGACACCGAGATCTTTCTGCTCATCCACACTATCAAGAATCTTATCATTAGCCCAGTACTCTGTATTCCTGTTACTCCTTCCAAAGTGAATCACCTCACACTTTTCCGCATTAAACTCCATTTGCCACCTCTCAGCCCAGCTCTGCAGCTTATCTATGTCCCTCTGTAACCTACAACATCCTTCTGCACTATCCACAACTCCACCGACTTTGGTGTCATCCACAAATTTACTAACCCATCCTTCTACGCCCTCATCCAGGTCATTTATAAAAATGACAAACAGTAGTGGCCCCAAAACAGATCCTTGAGGTACACCACTAGTAACTGAACTCCAGGATGAACATTTCCCATCAACCACCACCCTTTGTCTTCTTACAGCTAGCCAATTTCTGATCCAAACCACTAAATCACGCTCAATCCCATGCCTCCGTATTTTCTGCAATAGCCTACCATGGGGAACCTTATCAAACGCTTCTGTGTCTGTATTTCACATCTTGATCTTCATACTGGCTATGCAGACCTTCCATGCACTCCCTGTGGCATCGGTATTGCATGGACCAAGATGACTGATCCTTTCCCTCCCTCTGCAAGTTTATCTGTAAACACTAGCACCAGGCAAGAAACACACTGCGTCACAGAGAACAGTGTCAATTTCTCCAACCATATTGTCCCCTACTACTACCACCACTACAACCTCCACCCCCACCCCACCCCCGACACTTGAATGGCTTCTAATACCACGGTGCTATAGTCAGTTAACTCATCCATCCTGCAGCCCCCATTCTTACCCAGACAAATTTATAAAGAACCTCAAACCTATTGAACATCTGCAAAGCCAGAGGCTCATGCATTCTAGGTCCCCGAACTATCTCAGAGTCAAACACTTCTGTCTCTGAATACCAACCAAATCAGAGGACCCAATCTTAAGGAGTGTGAGCACCTCCTAGCACAAAGAATCCAGTTAACCTTCCCCTGCCCTGATGCTTCGCAGTGTCTGTGTTTGAGCCTGCAGCTCAAACTCTGAGCTGAAGCTACTCAAACTTTAAACCCTTACTGTGCTTGTTTGCCTGGGACCAAACTGGCACGCAGAAGCTCCTACATGCTGTAGCTGCGACTCGTCACCCATCTTACCATCATTAATGTGTTCTAATTATTATATTCAATTATATATTTACTTATGTTTTTATATATTTTATTAATCTTACTAACAATTATACAATGTTGAACTTTAGGAATAGAATAAACCTTAGTCACCTCCCAAATACTCACCAAATAAGTTACTACTTCTCCTATAGCACAACAAGGATCAAATCCTGGAGGCTGAAAGAATTAGAACAAATCCTGCAAAATTCTCCTTTTAGTAGATTTTAAATTGCTTTTGAAAATTTATTGTTGAAGCAGTTTCCACCATTTTTCTATGTAGCACATTCCAAATAAGAGGTTCTTGACATAAAAAAAAAACTGTATATACAAATATAAGAAACAGTAGAAGTAAGCCACTCAGCCCCTCAAGCCTGCTCCACCATTCAATAAGGTCTTCGCTGATCAGTGTGCATTTTTGTTTCTATATTCCCTATCTTCTCCCAATATGCTTAGATTCCCTCCCATAACAAGAATCTTCCTCCGCCTTAAAATTTTCAATGACCAGACCTTCTGAAGCAACATTCCAAGTTTCACAAACATGAGAAAACATTTCTCATCTCTGGCATAGAAGGACAACTCCAGTTGAAATCAAAAACAAAGTTGCTGGAAAAGCTCAGCAGGTCTGGCAGCATCTGTGAAGGAGAAAACAGAGTTAACGTTTCGGGTCCGGTAACCCTTCCTCAGAACTGTTCAGTCCAGGATCCTGTATACTTCAATCAAGTCACCCCCCCCTCTAATCTCCAGTGAAAATAAGCCCAGCTTACTCAACCTCACTCAATAGGACAACACCTTATTCCAGGTATCACTCCAGCAAACCCCCTCTGAACTAACTCCAACATATTTAGATCCTGATCAAATAAGACCAAAACTGCATTTAGTATTCGAGATGTGGACTCACCAATACCTTGTAAATATACTGGCCTGGATTTTCTGCCAATTACTTTAACTCTGTGTCATCTGATTACCAACCTTTGCACCAGTAGAGACAATCCTGTCCCATTTACTGTATCAAATGTCAACCTATCAAACAACTACTGTCCTCCACTTTTCCCAAGTGACTTCTCCAACAAGCCAAGAAAAGATTCTTACCCCTATTCTTGCCGAAAACCAAATTTACTATGCAAATCTGTTAAGTAAATTCAAAGGGTAGTTATTCTGTTTTATTAAAATAAACCACAATAAATAAAAAAAGTTTAAATATTAAAAGTGGCATTTACTTCTGATATACCTTGTTTTTAGGTATAGAGAAGCAGTTTTCTCTGCTTCTTCCACTTAAGAACACATTGACTTTTTTTCCCCCAAAGAGTTGCCCCGACAGTCCAGTAACCTGCACGACTTGTTTATTGTTCTGGTAAACCTACTCTGTACATTCAGTACGTAGGTGACTATAATGAAACCAAAGCTAAATCTGACTTTGTCCCAAATTGGCATGTACACGTTAATCATTGAAGTAAATGCTGGCTGAGATCATGCAACTTAACATAAACCAAACAGCAAATCTTTCTAGTGTATTTAGCTTAGCTACTGGATGTCACTGAGCTATCAGTAGCCAGATTTCTAACTCATGTTTGGGGAAAAAAAAAGTTCCAAATAACATGAACATAACTAGAAGTATTAACTAATGAGGATTTAAGTTAATATTATGAATTATTGCAGAGTATTACCACTTATAACTTGCGAAAGCTGAGATTCATCATTGATGAAACCTTTCAAAGAATCATCGTTGACGTTGTCATAATCATCTTCATCAGAGGACACATATTCGGCTCCATCTGAGGAAAGCTCAGCCTCTTCATCAAGAAACTGTCGAGCAACATGCTAACAAATAAACCAAGACAACTGTCAATTAACTATTATTGTAAAATAGCAAAACTTTACCAACTCTAACTTTCAGATACAGCCTTGCAAAAAACGTTGAACTGCCCTGCATTTAAAAAACACAGTAAAAGGAATGTCCAAACTATAAAATTGTTCTCATGCAAATGAATACACAAAGGACAGCATGTTCTCTCTTTACTTAAAAGGCTTTAACAATCGAGATTGACATCTGATTTTGTTTTTTTGGAGGGGGTGTTAAAGTGAGGCCTATCTGCTTGATCATGTGGATGCAAAAGATCCCATGCATCTACTCAAAAAGCATAGGAACGTTCTTGTAGAATTCCCACAGTGCAGAAAGGGGCCATTCAGCCCATCAAATCTACACCAGCCCTTTGAAGAGCATCCTACCCATCAAACTTGCACATCCCTGGACACTACGCAGCAATTATTTTTTAAGCATGGCCAATCCACTTAACCTGTACATCTTTGAACTGTGGGAGAAAACCAGAGCACCTGGAGGAAACCCATGCGGACATGGCGAGAACATGCTAGCTCCACACAGACAGAGGAATCAAACCTGGGTCGCTGGTGCTGTTAGGCAGCAGTGCTAATGACTGTGCTGCCCTATGTGTCCTTGCGACTTGGCCAACAATCGAGTAACTAGACATCGTGGGAATGTTGTACAGATTTGTTGCTGCATTTGCCTAAGCTTTAAAAGCAGTTCAGACAACAAAAGATTTCAGGTCACCAAGAAAGTGAGAAGTGTCACATGTGATTTTCTTATTCTTGCAAATCATGAACAATCAGACTGGAAAGAATGTCATGTTAAACACTGTGCAGAAGTTCTCTACAGTTTTTCACAATTGAGTTCAAGTCAGAAAGGAACACAGTGCTAGATTAAATTCAGTGTCTCAAGGTACTTTGTTACTTTAGTTGCCACACAAGTGAAATGAGTTGTTGCAATAATATATGCATAAAAGGTCATTTGAGTGCCAGGTTAAAAAAGGCATTCCTGCCAACCTTGAATTTTCATAGACCCAATCTTACTTTGCCCATAACAACTTCATAATTCAAACTGCTCAGTTTTACACTGGTAAAAGGAAGCCTTGATCAAGTTTGTTATAATGGTTGTCCAACTAAATCGTCATTTAACTCAATGTTCATGGGAAGTGGGTGGCACTAGCAAGGCCAGCAATTACTGCCCTAATTACCTTTAGGCCGAGTGGTTTGGTAGGCCATTTCAGAAAGCAATTAAGAGTAAGCCAAAGAAATTGCTGGAAAAATTTCACGTCTGGTAGCATCTGTGGAAAGAAATGAGAGTTAACGTTTCAAGTCCAGTGACCCTTCAGCAGAGGGAAAGGATAGCTTTATGTAGAGGGAGAGAGAGCAAGAGACAGCGTGAGAGCGAGAACAGGAGATGATAAATGGAGATACAGCTTAAAGAAAAAGAAAAGAGTTGGACAAAGGCGTGGATATAGACCAGCCTAGAGAACAAATAGGTGCTAATGCAGACTATCAGTAGCTGACAATGGGTTGAGTGCAGCAGAAGCCTTCCCCCCCACCCTATCGTCTACGTAATATCCATTCGTTTCCTAACAACCATCGGTTCTGAAGAAGGGTGACTGGACGTGAAACATTAACTCTGATTTCTCTCCATAGATGTTGCCAGACTTGCTGAGGTTTTCCGATTTCTATTTTTGTTTCAGATTTCTAGCATCTGCAGTTCTTTCAGTTTTTGTTTAGAAACAGTCAACCACATTTCTCTGGGTCTGGAGTCATACGTAGGTTGGACCAGATAAGGATGACAGATTTCCTTCCCTAAAAAACATTAATGAACCATGTGAGACAACAAGGTGCAGAGCTGGATGAACACAGTAGGCCAAGCAGCATCATAGGAGCAGAAAGGCTGACGTTTCGGGCCTAGACCCTTCAGCAGAAAAGTTTTCTGATG